AGCGTACACCATGAGGATACACACGCTATTAAAAAAACTGAAGTATATACTCAATTTTTTATGTGAAGATCAAGTTTAACTGAAAAGATTTTAATATAAGAGTATACATGTGTACTTTGATATCAAAAGATTACTTTAGTTTTAGAATATGCTGTAGCACATTACGTGTGAAATTTCTCCTTAATTTACAGCAATTAGTATTTTTGTGAGGAGTAAATATAGGGGCTTGGTAGAACATTTCCAGAATCCGGTAATGTATCTTTCTTTGTAAGAATTTTTAGTCTTTAATACTTTTAACATACCAGTAAACCAAGCTGAGTTCGCTCTACCCATCTTTACTGGATTGTAGTTAGTTGATAGGCATAATGTTTTGAACATGAAATAGTATCAAACATTTTGTTTCAATTCATTTTTTTTAGTAAAGATAGGTGAAGTTCATTAATAATTATAAAACAGTTTTGTTGCACTCCTGACTGCAGTAAAATTAAAAACCATAGAACACAGAAATTCATAAAGCGTTGGCAACATCCAGTGGTAACAAAATTGTGCAATATTAATAGTCGAATACTTCATAATTAAAACACATGAAAGTATTTAAAATTGGCTTTATATCTTGAATTATTCCATATTTATGTAAAAAAAAAACTAGCTAAAATATATGTTTAGAAGAAAAAATTATATTTTATAACTTTATATTTTTCTTCACAGGACAAACACTGTAAGCAACTGAGGTCAACCAGAAACATTCTTCTCATCGATTTTTTTCTTTATATTTATTCACATTTGAACAGCAATAATTCTAACATATTTGTTGCACTCCTGACCAAGAGCATAGGAGTCTTTAAAGTAGAATTGTGAAGCGAAGATTACATCAGAACTTGTTCTGTTGTTTCAGTGAATTTTATAACAATTTTTCGGTCTGTTTATTTTTTACATTCATAAAAAATCAAAGAAAAGATTTAAAAAAAAACACATATGAATTGGTAAAATTGAAAAAGAGAAGGATTTTAATTTCAAAACGTTCAATAATGTAGGACTAAATTATTCAAATAGGTCATTATTAATCAAAGAATATTTCTTAGCTCGAATAAAATTCTTTTCATCATATAACTTGAATCTTAAAAAAAAAGGCGTGTTGCACTCCTGACCATAGAAATATAGATCTGAAACACAGACATACCCTGCAAAAGGCTGCAATTGATGAATCTATTTGGTAAAAATGTTCCTTATGTCTTATTTTCCAAAATAAAAACCAGAAAATCATATACTGATAATTTTTTTTTCATGCTGGGGGAGCAAAACATCCTATGTTGCACTCCTGACATTATTGGGTATGCGCAGATACTTGACTCTCATAAATGCTGCTTGTAATTTAAAGAACATTTTAAAGTTTTGTTTGTTTGTTTTGAACATATTTTATTGACAATGTGTCAAAGGGATTGGACACAAGTTCTAAAAACTTAAATAGTGTATCAGTTATTGTTTTACACTTTGAAAATTCTTTTTTGACTTAATTGTCTTTCAGATTTTTAAAATCGATGTGGGGTTTTTGGCAGCATTACATTTTTGCTGTTGCACTCCTGACATGCTGTAACATTTTTTTAACATCAGCCATGAGCACAACTTGGTCAAACAAAAGTTGCTACGGTCTACATTTAAAGCTGTGAATATTATCAGGAAAGTCTTTATTTCCAACATAAAGCATTATTATTTATTTCACATATCTTCAAAAAAATTTAAATATTCAAAACGACACAAAAGGTGTTGCACTCCTGACATTTCTAGCATAATTTTTGGGCATAATTTTTTTTTTTCTTTTTTTTTTTTTTGAATTGAGATATCAATGAGATATTTGGCAGGCATTTAGACACTATCTAAAGACATATGCTGAGACATAAAAATTATTCCCAATGCCTGTATTTTTAATGCAGGTTGTTAAATATGCGTTTGGTCATTTTTTTTAATTCACCCAGATGTAAGTATAGCTGATACTGAAAACTTGAAAGCAATAATTTTAAACGGTCCAAAATTCAAGGAGCCCCAATCTTTCAATTGGTGACAGACCTGCATTTCTATCACTGATTCCGTCGAGAAAGATACCAGACATTGCCTAAATATGAAGGAGAAGACCTTGACGTTTTGTTTAAAAGGTGAAAGTGTTTTGAAGTATATTAAAGCATCGTATCATACAATTTAAATGCAAAATGTGTACTATATATGTATATCCTTTCGTTTTCAGCAAACTTTCAGCTATGTAGAAAATTGTGTATTAAAGTAGGTGATGTTGTTTTAGATACTGTTAAAAGTGCCAAACTACTTGGTGTAGAAATTGATGAATGTCTTACCTGGTGAGGTCTGTACATATTGATTCTTTATGTAAGAAACTCTCACTTAAATTACAGAAAAGGGCCGCCAGAATTATCATGAACGTGAAAGAAATTCAAACTCCTACTGTTGATATTTTAGTGTTCTTAAATGGATGCCTGTACATGATTGTTTTATATATAGAAAACTTGTGTTAGTGCTAGCATTTAAAGTTATGAAAAATATGCCAGAATATTTTAATGTATTTAGTTTTGTTAGCCAAGTTAGCTCAAGGGCAACGAGAAGTAGTGTTAATGGCCTTTTATATATTCCAAAAGCACGAACTGAATATTATAAACGATCTTTTAAAGTTTCAACTGCAATTTTATGGAATCAGCTGCCTGACTCTGTTAGAACCCGTAATTCTCTGGCTTCTTTTAAATCAGCATATTTGCAGCATTACAATTTAAACAAGTGAAGTACAGTAATTGTTTTTTTTTAAATTATTTTATCTTATAGACCTATGAACTTTTTTTATTTATTCATCTTATTTAATATTATGTACATATATGTCTGTTATAATATGACATGTATATTGTGACTATTTTCTACTATAATTTTTTTTAATCTGTCTGTGAATATGTTTTATACAGGATCCGGACCACAATGTAAACTAGTAATGTGTTACTAATTGTGCTATCCTGTCTAAATAAAGGAATTTATTATCATTATTATTATTATTATAGCTACAAGAACAGTTGGTTATAGTTCCAGCCGACAAGGTTTGTAAAAATATACCCAGTGGTCTTTGTTTGCAAGGTTCATTATTGCAACTGAATTTTAAGTTCACCCGACGAAATCCAACTTACACTCAATGCTCCTCTCTAAATGGTGATATTCTTTAAAATCACATTTCAGTTTTAAATACTTTAAACAATCCAGTCAGCGGAAGTGAATTTGATGTACCGTACATGTACCTATATTGGATTCCAAAACGTCATTAAAACCCGTCACAAAGATACATTACAGGGTCGTAAATGCTCTGTCAGGTCCTTATTTTTACCCCTTGTAAAAAAATATTAACCTATGGGAAGGAGAAATGTCTGTGCTACTCCTCATTCAACACGTGGTGTAAATCATATATGGATTTTCAAAACTGACACTTAGTGAATCTGAAATCTCCAAAATCTCCAAAATCAAAGCATCAAAACGTATGACTTTTAGGTACTTCAATTAAAACCATGCTTTTCACAGCACAACTAGTACTTCTTAAAAAAAAATGAAATTCGGAAATTTTCATTTCCTGTCATAATTACTTAAAAAAATCAGCTGGAAATTCGATGAATACTAATTGTAATCCTTTATTAGCCGCCTAATTTTATTGTGGCATGTATCAAAATTATTCGAAACCTTCTACATTTGTGGCGTTCAATTCGACATTTAGTTATTCATCAACGTTTTAACAAATGACAAAAGTTTCTTTTCTTCATATTCGACTCGACGTTTCTGAGTGAACTCAATATACAGAGTCTGTCTAGATGTTTTACAAACCATAGACATTTATAGCAAACTAACAATTACACTATATATATGACAAAAGGGAAGACTTCAACTTTTCCATCGTCAATTAATGCAGTACGCAGGCTTCTGACAAATGAGTTGATGTTACAGGGCTTTCTACAATCTTGTTTAAAGTCGGTTTTTCGCAAATTGTGTGGTTGTTTTAATGGTCTTGATTGCAAAAAACGAACTATCGTATAGTATTACATGTAATTTGACAGACCTATTTCATACCAATTGTTCAGCCATTGTTTTTATACTAATTTTGACCACAGATTATTGTATTTACCTGATCAATACAGAGGGCTCTCAGTGGGTAATTTCTGTCGACAGGGTATGCTTATACATTTTAGGTACCTGATCCCAAGTCTGCTGTTTCCATGGGTTCATGTTTTTGCCCTGTTCATGATTGGTAGTGTAAACAGAGTTTTTAAGGTTGATCCTCACCTTAATCATTATGTCATCAGAGAAACCAGGTTTTGTTTTGTTTTGTTTTCTTCCACTGCATGTGGTCGTCATATTCCTCCAACATATATTTGTAATAGTGACAGTAATAGTCAAACTGAACAACCTTTAAAAAATCACTTGTCTTTAAGAAACCCAAAAGATAATTATCTAATCATTTTACCCTTGTAAGAACAAGTTATCTGTTTTTGATCAATTACAAACAATGAAGAAATTTAATGTTATTGAACATTCAACATGCATTGATTATAAATATGTAATGGGTATGATAGTCATAAAAAAGAAGTAAAGAAATAAATCAAATCATTCCAATATTTTTATTATTTTAAACTAGAAAATCTTCGGTTTTCAATAGTATCGATGCAAAACAATGACTTTGTTTGCAAAAACAACTTGACATTTGGTCTTATAATTTTGACTGACGTTTTCAAACAAAATTGTACAAGCCTAGATAGTATTATTGACAATTATAAAAAGATTAAGGAACGAGACTTGGAGAAAAACTGGTGACTAACTCCCAAAATATTGGACCTGTATTTCTAGTTGATAGAATCATTTGCTATTTCATAAATTAATTGAATAAACTTAAGTCAATAATTAAAAACCGACCAATATTAACTGAATAGTAAGATTCTGTAAAATGATATTGTGATCAATATGTTTGATTTTTTTTTTAAGAAATAAAAAAAATTATTTTATGCTTATTAATCGATACAGCAAAATTAAACAAAAAGTTTTAACCAATGAAAAAAATTCAATGGAATTCACTCTTTTTTTTTTTTACACCTACTACGAAAAAGAGACACGGATATAAATTCTCCTGCGTCCTTGTAAAACAGAGGCCTACGAAAACTTGTAAAATGAGTAACAAGGAGTAAATTCCAACTGTCCGTAGATGTGCTCTTCTTCCCTTTTCTCGTCTTTTTTGATGTTTGTTGGGCCCCAGACTGATTCACTGAAGATAGGAGTAGCTGTAACATTAATGTTTATTTGAATTCAAAGGGGAAGATGTCTGGATGAATATGTATTTGTCTTTTTACTATTAGTATCAAGAGAAGCGTTCTGTAATACTATAGTAATGAATCATATAGTATATAGTAGAGGGTTAAATACAATATATTAATGCTTAACCTGAAGTCCACCATAACTTTAGGGGAGTCGTAATATTAGCAAACGAAAATAATAGTTTTGAAGTGTAATGAACATTTTCAAGATACATGAGAATGAACATACGTATTATTGGTGGCGTGGATTTCTGGTCTGTAGAGATTGTCTTTTGGTATTGTTGTATCACTGACTGCAGTGGAATGGATCCGATGATGACTTCAATTGGGATATGTAATTTAGATGAAGGTCCATGTGGTTTTATAACCAGCTATGATGAAATATATGGAGATAAAATATATATAAAGAGGAAATAAGTATTTAACTATCGACAACTGCATAATACAATTTCAAGTTTACTATCAGGTTTTAAGGACATATACTAGTATATGTAATAACGTAGTTTTGAACTTAAACTTAATCCCTGTATAACTTAATAGTTCCGATAATTGAGAGATTTTTGTGCAATTTTCTAATGCGTGGTAAATAAATGCTGTACACCTCCTCTGAATAATATTTATAGGAAAAACCAGCTTAAACTATATATTTTTTGTTAAATTTTCTTTTAAAAACCACAAGAATTTTCAGCATTTAATGTTTGTTAAAAAATTCTGGTATTGTATGCTTTTTTTGTCTAAGAACACCTGATGGTACTATGATTTTAGATTAAGAATATTTTGGTGGGAAAAGTACATTATACGGTAGATACACATATATACTAGTACATGTAAATTACGTATGTCTTTCAGTAATCTACCAAGACTTTTTTTTTTTTTATAGAATCTCCTGTTTTTTTTTTTTTTTTGTTTGTTTGTTTTTTTTACCTTTATAGAGTATTTAATGTCAATGATGGAGCACCCTCCCAGGTAAGAAGGTGCCAGAGGAGGGATCACAAATCTGTCTCCGCTCCAAACATCTGACTGACCAGGAGCCAAGTCTTGGTGTTGAATACGGTTGATTAATTTTGTTTCGGTGTATATTCTCTTTTTTGGCCTTATTGCATAATACTTTGTAACCTTTCAGAAGATTAATGTCGTATATCTATTTTACATACACAATTTAAATTGTCTGTAAGATTATAGTGAAATAGTGTATATTCATACATGCACATGTACTTGAATTAGTTTACACAATAGATTTTTTATATTTACTCATTCATAATTATATTGGAAACGACATCAAAGAAATCACACTTTTAAAATATTTAACTCTTTTTGTTTATTTTTTCGTAAGAAAGCTGCAAATTTTTTACATTACTTTACGTGAAATCTGGATCAATATCTTTAAAAACCTTGGTAGTTTTGCCAAATTCAGCTCCATAATATCTTTCATTAATTACGCACCATTTCTAGATCAGCAAACACGTTGCAGACACGTCTGGAGCTATTCTGAGCACTGGCTTCAAAGTAAATTGATTCCCCAGGAACATATCCGACTCGATTGAGTTTAAATGTTCCCAGGATAGGACCTGATTTACAGCACAAACAGCAGATGTTTTCTGAATTCTGTGCTTCCCCACCGTTCTTAAATAAAGTTAACATAAATTCATATATATATATATATATATATATATATATATATATATATATATATATATATATATATATATATATATATATATATAAGAAGAATCCCTTTCTCTTTCTCTCTTTTTAATTAGTGCTAATTTTTTATTCATATATCCGTGTATGATTGAGTGTTTGGTGTGCTTTATGCTTCTTTCTATCAAGTGGTTTACTTTCTATGCAATATCAACCAAAGAAAAAAAGATTCATCTGATCTGATTTCATATACATACGGCAGCTGATGGTTCTAGATTGAGATCCAGGGTTGCTAAGACAGTGAAAGGTTGAACAGTGTGTTCATCAAATGCCCAGGGTCTGTCTATAATTCCCTCTACTTTGTAGCGAACGTATCCATGTTCTCCCTCGAAGGAAGACGGCAATTCAGGAGGTAAGACGAACGAGAAAGGGAACACGTGTTTCCCGGCGGGCAAACGGTTTTCATCACCGCTTCCTAAACCTTGGTTATAATTGTTTGTATTGTAAAATACTATATTTTTTTTTACAAATTCAAAATTCAACTGTGCTTAAAAATATAAACATAGTTTTCTCTGTACAGAATATAAAACGATACTGATTGTTGAAAATTAAATGAAATTTAAAAGAAAAACAACATCATTGAACGAATATATTTTATTTTTACCTTTCCCAAATACCGGTATTGTTGTATCAAAGTACTCCTCGTTTCCAGAGTAGTGTTTTGTTTTGTCTATGCCGTCCCCACCATCTATATGCTCAGACCAAGCTACATGGGCTTTCCCATCGCACTCTAATCTTATTTCTAGGTAAATATATGAAAAGCATTTCTATTTCAGTATTTAAATTACATGTATAATAATAGCAAGGTTAAATATCAATTGTCATGTCCTCTCCTATTTTTCCTACGTTCTCACCTTTGCCAATATCTGACGAATTTTGCAGATCAAAATTTAGGAAGGTTTTTTTTTCTTTTTCGTTGGATATTTTACTTTTGGAATTTTTTCTCTCGAAAATTACAACCAAATTTAGAGGAAATCAATAGTATGTATGACAAAAGTCTTTGTGCAGCCGGGTGTCGAATTTTTAAAATATCGTCCCCTTGATTATACAGGACTTCGACATTTTTTTTTTCGATTAAGTATTTGTAAAAGGATTTGGCAACAGACAGGCAGACTAATGGGACGACAGAGTAATAAATTAATACAGCTTTTTACAAAGTTGTAAGAATTTGAATTACATAACCTTTATATGAACAAACATACAGAAATACCATTTTTAAAAATGGTGAAAAAAAATACATTTCACTAACGAATGAAAAATAGAAAAAATACCCCGCAGTTCCATTTCTGTTTCCAGTTCGAGGATTGTTTTTCCACTGACGGTTTGTCCAGGCATATATACACCAGTCTTATTGTCCAAGTCTATGTTGAAAGACTTCAACTTTACCATTTTGTACTTTTAGAATATAAATCTTCAAGAATTCCCCCTGAACAACTGAAGATAATCAAATAATTATCAATAATAATTGGATACGGTATAATTTGTTTTCTCTTATCTACATGTACATTATGTACATTTAATTTGTAAAACCATAATACTGATATCTGATCAGAAGGAAAAGCGTGAGGGATGTTTTTCAATGTTTTCCCACTGAAACTATAAAGGAATTGTTTTAAGGAATCAATATTTAGTTTGTTGGGCATACCAGGGCATTAACGACAGAAGGAAACGTGGGATATAGGAAACGAGGGATAATCTGCATAACGGACGAAGCCCGTTCTACATTAATTATCCCACGTTTCCAGCTGTCGCTAATGTCCCTTGCAGACTCAACAAATTAAACATTGAATCCTTAAATTTACATGTAAAATAAAATTATGATACATTAGAAAACAGTGATTCCTTATATTTATATGTAAAATAAAATAATGATACATTCGAAAACAGTGATTCCTTATATTTACATGTAAATAAAATACTGATACACTGGAAAACAGTGATTCCTTATATTTACATGTAAAATAAAATAATGATACTCTTCCATATATTTACATGTAAAATAAGATAATGATGCATTGGAAAACAGTGATTCCTTATATTTACATGTAAAATAAAATAATGATACATTTGAAAACAGTGATTCTTTATACATGTATTTACATGTAAAATAAAATAATGATACATTGGAAAATGAAGTTGAATATTTACGGTGGATATTAACTTTGTTTATATTCGAAAAAAAATCTAGATCAACACAGTAAACAAAGGTCATGCAAGTAAATATTTCTGTTCTAAATATCTTTTTTCAGAAAAAATGAAAATAAACAAAATCAAAAACAATTATTTTGAAAAATCATCGTTATTAAAAATTCTCTACTCATTTTGCCACATAAATCCCTGTTGACTTAAGAACATACAGCTCATCTACATAGGTGCATTCAAGCTCTTATCACAAATCGCACAAATCTTAATCTCGTTAATCCTTTGTTAAGAGGTTCGTCTTTTTAAACATGCTGTTTTCACGGTTTACTTACCGTATACATTATGTAAAATACAGGGACAACAAGGCTTTCAAGAAATAAATAAATAAATATTGATGTAACACGAAAAATATATACACTTATTTACCTTTTAGAAACTCAGCTTCCCCCAAATCATTAATTCCGAGCATTCGAGAATAAAAACAAGATATAAATGTATTCACCTGGGTAAAAAATTAAAAAATGACACGAGATATATATGTCCTAATACAATCAATTTACAGACATCTTTAAATGCCTTAAGGTCGAATACCATTGTATGTTGGGTTCGGGTTTTTAAGCCTTGATGAGATCGATAAATATTCCTCTGTGGAACATTCTTATATTAGTCAAATTTGGTATTTCGGCCATATATGATCATTTTATAGCTTTTGCCTTTGAATTAAGAAATTATAACCCTGTATACTTGTTTGCTTGGTTTCTACCTTTCGAAACATCAACCTATTTTTTAATTTACTGGAATGTTCTTCAAAGAATTCTCCAGCAAACAACATTTTCTGGAAGATTCTAGAGTTTTTGTTATTTGTTTCTTTCGTTTTTTCTTTTTTTTTTTAAAAAAATAATTTCAGTGGCGTACCTAGACAAAAATAATGTCGGTGATGTCTGATTTTAAGGAGCTTGGGCCGCATTACCCCTGCAGAAATTGAAAATATTTTTGAATATAAGATTAAGTCTAAGAATTATGTGCAGTGTGAATATAATATGAAACAAATAATCTTTGAATATTGAAACAAATTTATTGAAATACATTCTTTCATCAAAGAATTTTCTATCTATTTATCATTAATTTTCATTTATTTATTATTATTATTATTTTAAATAAAGTGGATGCTGTGGCATACATGCAAGAAAGATACGCCACTGTTGATTGGTATTACATGTGCTTCATTTATTTAACAATTTTATTTGTATTAATTGTTTAAGTTTGTTCATTGATTCTGTTATTTATTTGTTTTCTAAGTTTCCTATAGTTGTTATAGTTCTTAGTAGTATTTTGACTTTTGGCTGACATGTTTTTATAACAATCGTAGGCCATTGTTTTTATACTAATTTTGAATACGGATCACTCCATTTACATTATCAATACAGAGGGAGCTGCTGTGAGCCTTCGACAAGGGGGGGGGGGGGGTGTTTTCTCCTCCTAGACACCTATCTTACCTCTTGGTTTTCCAGGGTAACGAGTTTTTGCCCTGTTCTTAATATGTATTGTTTTAATGAGAAAAATCACTGTTCATTATCTTCACATTTTAAAATATTTTGATGGGAATTTTTGGTGTTTTGGTCCTCAAATAAAACATAGGTGTCGGAAGAAAATTGAAAGTGGAGGGGAGGGGCTTAACCAACCAACCAAAAAAAAACCTTTGGGTACTAAGCCCGATTTTTCAATGCCTATATTATGTCTGTCTTTGCAAAAAAGAGGGACTAAGCCCCCCCCCCTCCTTTCCCCAGTTCCGACGCCTATGTAAAGGATATTTCATCAATTGGTGGGGTTTTTTTTAAGTTCTAAAGAAAGTAACGACAATTTGCCGGAAATGTAATAACAAAGTGTAATTTTGTGAATATGTATAGTTAAGTATGAGGATCTTTAGATACTGACACTGCTGTCTGTCATACAAAATTAGCGAGATAAATTCACTAGGGAGACAAGGACTTTACAACAAAATATCCCCTTTAATTACCATCCCTACATTGCTTAGATTTTATTACAAAAAGTTGTTTTTTTTAAATTGAGGAAACAGAATTCAAAAATATTGACAAAGAGCTTGGAACACAAATTATCATATCAGACCTTTAAGTTTCGATTTAAGAAGGGTACTATAAGCAAATCATTGTGTTATACCATGCGATATTTACCCTCTAAGGGGTAGCAGGCACGTAGTATCGTTTTGAAAAGAGGGGGACGGAAAAAATCTAACTTACCTAACTAAACCGCAACAAAAAATGGGGTGGGGCAGCCTTTCAATGAACATTTTCAAGAGTAAAATGTTATGTTTGGATAAAAGCGGATTGGGAAGCCCCCCCCCCCCCCTTGAACCCTGATACTACGTGCCTTGGTATCTAGAAAATGTTCCTAATGGGCGTCTATACCCATTTTAAACTAGTTTTAAAAAGTAAAAAATAATGTCAAGCAAAAAGAATTTATAATTATGATAATAAAATTAAAATAGTATAAAATGAAGAAAAACCTAGAACAGTTACTTTTCAAACGCGGAAAAAATATTTGGAGTGTATGTGTGTGTAAAGAAGGTTGTGAAGAGGGGGACTCTCATTGACCATCACTTTCCATCAGATACATGACTGTTCTTACCAACTTACAAGTGGTCCTCTGTGTTTCTCAGTTGAGGGTGGGGGCTACTTTGTTTTTAGTTTCAGTTTCTATTTACTTAAATAAAAATTTGAAATAAAATCTGAAAATCACGCGGCGGGGGGGGGGGGGGGGTTTGGGGGTTTCGGACTCCCCTGACACAACCCCATCCTCGGCTGAATCCGCTACTGGGCATGTTGAAACACCTGATTTAAAAAAAGAGTTGAAATTTATTTTTTGACAGATTTTCTCAGAGTTAGATGTGGTCATACATAAGAAAAAACTTTGATTTTACCATATTAGCAGTTGGATTTACTCCATCCGATAAATTCAATATTTACAACATGAAAATATGTAAAAATACCACTAATTCAAAGCTCTGTTCTGGCTATAATCGTTAACTTTGTTCGTGCTTTTGGTCATTTTTCACTTTATCTTTGAATATAATGTATCAAAGAATCAACAGTTTTTAGCTCACCTGAGCCAAAGGCTCAAGTGAGCTTTTCTGATCAAAATTTGTCCGTTGTCTGTCGTCGTCGTTGTCGTTGGCGTCGCCGTTGTTGTAAACTTTTCACATTTTCTTCTTCTTCTCCAGAACCACTGGGCCAATTTCAACCAAACTTACCACAAAGTATCCTTGGGTGAAGGGGATTCAAGTTTGTTCAAATGAAGGGCCACGCCCTCTTTCAAGGGGAGATAATTAAGAATTAGTGAAAAAATAAATGCATCATTTAAAAATCTTCTTCTCAAGAACAATAGGGCCAGGAAAAATGAAACTCAGCATCTTCAGGTAGTGTACATTCAAGTTTGTTCAAATCATGACCCCCGGGGGTAGGGCGGGGCCACAATGGAGGATCAAAGTTTTACATAGAAATATATAGGGAAAACCTTTAAAAATCTTCTTCTCAAGAACAGCAAAGCCATGATGAGTCATATTTATATGGAAGCATCCTCGGGTAGCGTAGATTCAAGTTTGTTCAAACCATGACCCCCGGGGGTAGGGCGGGGCCACAATGGAGGATCAAAGTTTTACATAGAAATATATAAGAAAAATCTTTAAAAATCTCATTCTCAAGAACAGCAAAGTCATGATGAGTCATATTTATATGGAAGCATCCTCGGGTAGCGTAGATTCAAGTTTGTTCAAACCATGACCCCCGGGGGTAGGGCGGGGCCACAATGGAGGATCAAAGTTTTACATAGAAATGTATAGGAAAAATCTTTAAAAATCTCATTCTCAAGAACAGCAAAGTCATGATGAGTCATATTTATACGGAAGCATCCTCAGGTAGTGTAGATTCTATTTTGTTCAAACCATGACCCCTTGGGGTAGGGCGTGGCCACAATGGAGGATCAAAGTTTTACATAGAAATATATAAGAAAAATCTTTAAAAATCTCATTCTCAAGAACAGCAAAGTCATGATGAGTCATATTTATATGGAAGCATCTTCAGGTAGTGTAGATTCAAGTTTCTTAAAATCATGACCCCCGTGGGTAGGATGGGGCCACAATGGAGGATCAAAGTTTTACATAGAAATATATAGGAAAAATCTTTAAAAATCTTCTTCTCAAGCACAGCAAAGCCATGATGAGTCATATTTATATGGAAGCATCCTCAGGTAGTGTAGATTCAAGTTTGTTCAAACCATGACCCCCGGGGGTAGGGCGGGGCCACAATGGAGAATCAAAGTTTTACATAGAAATATATAGGAAAAATCTTCTTCTCAGGAACAGCAAAGCCCAGATTGTTCATATTTATATGGAAGCATCCTCAGGCACGGTAGATTCAAATTTATTCAGGTCATGACCCCCGGGGGTAGGGCGTGGCCACAATGGAGGATCAAAGTTTTACATAGAAATATATAAGAAAAATTTTAAAAATCTTCTTCTCAGGAACAGCAAAGCCCAGATTGATCATATTTATGTGGAAGCATCCTCAGGTAGTGTAGATTCTATTTTGTTCAAATCATGACCCCCGTGGGTAGGATGGGGCCACAAAGTCTTAAATAGAAATATATAGGAAAATATCTTCTTCTGAAGAACTGCAAACCATGATTAGTCATTTTGATATGGAAGCATCCTCAGGTAGTGTAGATAAAATTTTGTTCAAATGATGACCCCCAGGGGTTGGGTGGGGCCCATTGGGGGATCGAAAGTTTTACATAAGAACATATAGAAAAAATATTTCTTCTCAAGAACAGGAAAGCTATGTTAGTCATATTGATATGGAAGCATCCACGGTAGTGTAGATTCAAGTTCAAATGATGACCCCTGGGATAGGGAGGAACCACAATGGGGGATCAAATTTTTACAAAGGAATATATTTTGGGAAATTTTTTTAAAAATCTTCTCAAGTAACCCCCCCCCCCCCCGGGTAATCTTTTCAATACTGAACTGATTTGTGCTTTTGCCTAGCCAATGTGCTCAGGTGACCGATGTGGCCCATGGGCCTCTTGTTATAATTAGTCAGTATTGACAGTAATTAATGTGTGGTTCATATCACAGGCGCTATTGGCCTCTAGTATAAATGTTTTATACTTATGGAGAAATAGTTACATTTTGCTTATTTGAATGCTTATTTGAATGGCGGTCGTGTTTTGTTTTCAATATGGCAAAATTTTGTGCAATAGATCATATATAAATTGAAGCTACAGAAACACAGATCAAAAATTAGGGGAAAAAGCGAGTTTGATGCCTGTGGTTCAGATTACAATTTAGATGCATACATGTAAATACACAAGGTGCTAGAAAACCAGTCCATTGCTCGTAAAAGATAATAATGCAGAAAGAAATCTTGATAAAATACATTTTTCTGAAATAAAAATTTTGAAAAACTTACCCGTTCTGATCTTATTATCATATATGACGTTGTACGTCAATTGTGACGTCATAAAAGCTGTGTTTCTAATGCTCTTTACCATGAATTTATTTTTTAAAAGATGTCAATATTTACATGGTTCAAACTCAATTGATGATACCATGCACGGATCATGCAAGGCACCTTGTATTTTACAATGCCCCCCCCCCCAATTTTTTCTTTAACATTGTTTCGTATTTTTACTTGATTATGGACATTTCTACGTAATTACGGGCATAATGTACAGTATTTGAGTCATGATAAGGATACGAAATAAAATTGCAAACTGTGAGAAAAGTTGCAAAGATTTGGCTACGACTTGTTTCAGGCTTGATTTTTGTAAAACAACATGAAATCTTGTTTACCTAGCTAGATTGCTGTCGATTTTTTGTTTGTTGTCTGTTTGATTCAATGCATAATTTAAGCGGAGAAAAATTGTAAAAAAAAAAAATCAAATTGTTGAAAAGTGAGGTCAGGATCAAAGGAAAGGAAAAGACAACAAAAAATGTTGATGTGTTTGAATAACTCTGATCAATATGTATCAGCATATGAAGTTTGATAAAAAAAAATATCTTGAATAGTTTCTTTGAAACTGAGCTTAACGCAAAGCGACAGAAGGACGGAAGACGGGCATAACAAATATAAAAGACTTCAGCCTCGGCAAAATTACTTTTCAAACTCGAGTGAAGAGGTTACTTAAACAATATTTTATCAAACATGAAAATGTACAAAGAAGAATACTTACAATTATTTATGTTTGTAAACAAATAAATACAAAATATAAATAAATAAATAATAAAATTTTAATTTTACCTAAAAATTCTTAAGTTTACACAATAATACGTTGTTGTTTTTCAAATGTTTAAGCCAGTAACCTTTTTTCTCCCTATACTTACTCTCTCTTGGTGCATATAATGTGCGAATAAAACGACTTAATTTTAAAAAGTAATTAAATTGTGCTGTAAGATGTGAGGAAAGTAAGTAAAATTTTAATTGAGAACAGACAATCAGAGTATTCCTTATCACGAGACACTGGTAATTGTTTTAATTAGTCCTGCTACATGTATTCGTTGGCCTATGTTGTCTTGGACCAGTTATAGTACGTATACGTGGGTGTAAAGGTCAGCTGTCCTTGTGTATGCTCACCATCTCCTTCATCTTTTATATTTGTAGGTCCCAGAATAGACTCATTGTATGAAGGAGCAGCTAAAATGAACAAGTCAATATTTAATCCTCACATTTGTATTTGTTACACGAGTCATAAAATTTTAAAAAAGGTTATCTTATCCTGTGCCATCTTTAAAAAATGAGGGGTTTTTTTTGCCCTCTCCTGACCGACTGCCTAAAAATGACCAGACTCAAAACTTAATTTAACCTTCAGTAACAATTCTTCTTTTTTATCCATTCCGGAAATTTTTTTTCGAAAATTCAGCATTGACACTGAAATTTTCTGAAAAAAAATTTTCCCACCAAATTTTTTCATCACGAGTCGGAAGAGGGCAAACAAATATTATATTATTTTAAAGTTGGCCCTATGTACACTAGTATACTCAAAATAGAAACAGAAATTCCATTCTAAAGAAAAAATGTCCTTAAATAAAATAGCTTTTTACTATTATCATAACAAACATTATTAAATTGCGACCATTCAATTACATACACACCCCCCCTCACACCCTCACACACACACACACACAGAGAGAGAGAAAGAGGGAGAGAGAGAGGGGTTAAAAGTATCATTTATGATGAAACTATTTTCAAGTCCTCACTTACGCATTGCAATTGCCGGTGGTGCCGATGGCTGGACCGAGGATAACGTGTGTTGATATTGCTGTACAGCTGACTGTAGGGGAACAGTTCCAATAATAATCTCAATTGGAACATTCAAGTCAAAAGCAGGACCAGATGGATCGATCACCAGCTTCAATAGAAAGAGAAACAATAAAAATACTTCAATATATATATTGTTTGTCCTCTCCAGCCTCAGAATACAAAAAAATTAGTTTGGTTGGAATTTTTTTTCCGGAAAATTTCGACATATTTGACAGATACAGCAGAGGCACCTGACGTTACTTATTTTTCTTTTAATAAAAAAATATACCCCTACCTAATAATTCACGTGGCCTAGTAGAAAACTATTCAGAAAAATAAATTCGGGTATTTATAGCAATTTTTTTTAAAAAGTTTTATTTCAGTCAAAAGCGTTGTCATTCAGTAGTTTCATCTTTTCGTTAAAACGGTGTTATGCGTTGTTATTCTTTTTTTCTTTTTTTAAAGACATAAATTCTGTGTTTACCTGCTCAATATCACCCAAGTAATTGTGTAGGCATGAAAGTAATCAGATAAATTACATTTCAGGTTTTCAGTTTAACTACATAAAAATTTTAAGCATTTTATTTTTCTTAAGGTTATTCAATACTCACACTTTTATAGCTTCAATGTGATCCATAAGTCTCTGATGAGACTATAGCTCTACTGGATTTTACTTAGTTAAAAAAGGTGGAGAAAGGTTTCACTTAGACTTGATACTAAGGCAACAGTAATAAATAAAGTAATGTTTGTTTGTTTATTGTTTAACGTCCCTCTCGAGAATTTTTCACTCATATGGAGACGCCACCACTTGCCGATGGAGAGCTGCAAATTTTGACCTATACTCGGCACTTAGGGCCATTGAGCAGTGAGGGATCTTTTTCGTGCCAGCGCCTACTGCGAACCGGGACCTCGGTTTATACGGTCTCATCCGAAGGACAGGTCTCCACGTCCCACAGTAATAAAGTAATGCTCCTTGATTAAGTCTCTTTCTTTGTCAACTTCAATTGGATTGAAATTGTAGTAAGCGTAGTGTTTTGAAAACTTTTCACAGGAATTTCTATATTTAGTAACCATGGCAACACCGTTCATCGAAATCAAAAATTGATAAAAAATAATTATGTATCTTAGTGTAGTATATTTCTGTACCAAGTTATATTGAAATCAGACTAAAACTGTAGTAGGAGTAGCATTTTGAAGGAATTTCACAAAACTTTCTATTTGTAGTAATCATGGCAACACCGTTCATTTATATCAAAACCAATACAGAATTATGTACGTTAGTATAGTCTACATATTTACCAAGTTATATTGAAATTGCACCAAAACTCCACATGTTGGAGGAGTAGCATTTTGAAAAATTGTTTACAGGTAGACAGATGGACGGACGACAGACACTTTACCATCGATAAGCTCTTCTGGTCTCTGACCAGTAGAACTAAAAACTGCCTTAATTTCCATTGAATATAATTTGAAATTATCAATAATAATCATAAACTAGATGCTGTCACAAGACAATTATACCCGCACTTACATGTAGGTGTTTGCCTCTAAGTATACCCATTCAAATTTGGATACTAAACAAGGGAAGGCGCCAAAATAATTCTACAATTTACAAACGTCCGTTTTCACCCCCTAATTACCCCCAGGGTGAATTTCGAAATTCTGAAGCCTAAATGCATATCTACAGGACACGCCCAGACTTATTCGAAAATATGATTGGTCTACTGTGAAAAATGTACAAGTTCAGGGAACCAGGTTTTGTTAAAAAATTCATTTTTGACCCCCAGAGTAAAAATCAGTACTCTGAATACACATCTACAGGACAACATCAATCACCATCTAAAATATGATAAGGCTACTGCAAAATAGAGGAGTTATGGAAACCAGATTTTTGTAGAAAAACATCTTTTTCCGAACCCCCCCCCCCAATCATCCCCTTAGATAAATATCTAAATACTGAAACTTAATTGCAAATCTACAGGACCATCCCTACCATGTTCCAAAAGATGAGTTGGCTACTGCAAAAATGTAAGAGGAATTCAGAGAACCAGATTTTTGTAGAAAATTAACACTTTTTGACCCCCCTTTGCCTCAGGGTAAAAATCAAAATTCCTAAACCTCATTGCACATCTACAGGACACTCTCAATCATATTCTAAAATAGGAATGGGCAGCGAGTGCTGCGAAAAATGTAAAAGGGATTCAAGTAACCAGGTTTTTGTAGAAAAATCTGTTTTTTGCCCAAAATTTGACCCCCAGGGTAAAAATGAAAATGCACATGTTCAAGGCAACACCAATCATAACACAAAAAATAAATTGGCTACTGCCTAAAATATAAGAGTAGTCTGAGGGAGAAGATTGTGACAGACGGATTTACCAAGATAATTAACAACATATACTCTAACACTCCTTAGAAAGTGCGGGTATAAAATGTATAAGTCGCCACTTTTTTTTTTAAAAGTTGTCAGTCACAGATAAACAGAAGTATCTGTTAGCATTAAAAAAATCTCTCATTTTTTTGTAAGCAGCATTATCAAAATTACTGATAAACTGGTTTGAATGACACAATTTTGATAATTACATGCAATGTTCCAAATAATTATTACTTTTCAAAATAAGTATAAATTCAGTATAAAATTATCAGGGAAACCATTTCTCAATAAAAGTTTGATAAAGAAAATGCAAGAATGAAAACACACGGGTAAGAAAAATTGTCCTTTGCACATTTTTCAAAAAGAGTGAATAATAAGTATTGCTTCTTAAAAGCTTTTATGAAACAATATTATTCTTCCAAATCACATATTTCTATTGTGCAATACTTAAATTAATGAAAGATTTTGCAAGAATGCATGACATCACATGAGAACAAAAGTCCACGAGGCTCCATGAGGATGGTATTGCCTTAATATAGATTTCATCTTGTGTTATAAATCTTAAAGACAGTAGCATCAAGTATATAGGTCTAAGGTTAAATATTTTGACAGACAACGTTCAAAAAACATGCATCTGCACACTGATACTGAAATATAACTCAAATCAAGCTAATTACTACTATACAACAACCATGACATCTAGAACAAAAACGATAAGAGGCCCATGGGCCACATCGCTCACCTGGCTAGGAAAAAAGCAAAAATCAGTTCAGTATTAAAAAGTTTACATTGGGGGGGGGGGGGGAGGCTTGAAATTCAAACTACCTGATATTGCTTCCACATCATTCAATATAACAAATGGCTTTGCTGTTCTTGAGCAGAATATATTCATTTGTTAAAAAAAAAAATTGATCCCTCATTGTGGCCCCACCCTACTCCCGGGGGCCCTCATTTGAACAAATTTGATTCTACACTACCTGAGGATGCCTCATATCAATATGCCTAATCATGGCTTTTCTGTTCTTGAGAAAATGATTTTTTTTCATAGCTATTCCTATGTAAAAATTTGATCCCCATTATGGCCCAACCCTACCCCCGGGGGTCATGCTTTGAACAAATTTGAATCTACACTACCTGAGGATACTTCCATATAAATATGACCAATCATGGCTTTGCTGTTCTTAAGTTTTTTTTCTATATATTCCTATGAAAAACTTTTATCACCCATTGTGGCCCCACCCTAACCCCGGGGTACATGATTGAAAAAAACTTGAATCTAAACTACCTGAGGATGCTTCCATATAAATATGACCAATCAAGGCTTTGCTGTTCTTAAGAAGAAGATTTTTAAAGATATTTTCCTATATATTTCTATGCTAAATTTTGATCCCCCATTGTGGCCCCACCCTACCCCTGGGGTCATGATTTGAACAAAATTGAATCTACACTACCTGATGCTTCCATATAAATATGACTAATCATGGCTTTCCTGTTCTTGAGAAGAAGAGTTTTTAATAATTTTTCTATGTATTCCCATGTAAAACTTTAATCGCCCATTGTGGCCCCACCCTACCCCCGGGGGTCATGATTTGAACAAACTTGAATTTACACTACCTGAGGATGTTTGCACATAAGTTTTATCTTTCCTTGCTCAGTGGTTCTTGAGAAAAAGATTTTTAAATGATGTCATTATTTTTTCCTAATTATCTCCCCGTGAAAGAGGGCGTGGTCCTTCATTTGAACAAACTTGAATTCCCTTCACCCAAGGATACTTTGTGGCAAGGTTGGTTGAAATTGGCCCCATGGTTCTTGAGAAGAAGTCAAAAATGTGAAAAGTTTACAGACAGACAGACGGACGCCGGACAAAATATGATCAGAAAAGCTCACTTGAGCCCTCGGCTCAGGTGAGTTAAAAACTTTATTTAATACCTACAGTCCACAATGGCGTCATCATGCCCCGTCACATTGGCATTTTTTTCTATTTTGAAATCAAAGGTTTTTGTTTTTTTTTCTCCAGTTACATGTATATTACTTATATATACGAGGGTTGTCCATAAAGTTAGTGGAATATGACGTTGTAGTCAAACTTGTCTTAGATATACTTATCGTATACCAAAATATTTGTTATGAAAATCCAAGTCAGAATAGTTTAATTTTGATTGTTGAAATTTTTGTAAAATCGCAGTCTTTAGAGGTCACAGATAGGTCGCACAGCTCTGGGTTGAAATTTCATAAACTTTGAAATAAAGTTGTTTAATAAAAAGAATTATGTTTTAGTAAGGTTAAAACGTCAGAGACAAAATAATTAATCAACCAAATGGATATTATTGGAATATATTTAGTTCATTGATTTAAGATAGGTATTTACGGCTTTTTAACGGTGTGAACAATTTGGGAGACACTACAAGAAGAGGAAACCATTGTTGTTTGATGAAAATAGGACATGTGGCATTCACGCAGCCGCATTCACGTCTTAACGTACTCTAGTGCAACGTACTTAGGGGCTGTGCAGTCTGTGCTTAGAAAGTGATGACGCTCGTGTAATATACATTGTTAAATCATGGTCTTTATTAATGTATCATCGTACGTTTGCAAGTGTGGTCATTATTAATAGCATTTATACAGGGTTCAAAATTAAGTAGAAATATTCGCTAAATGCGAGCATAAAATACATTTTAAGGGTTCAAAATTAAGTAGAAATACTTGCTAAATGCGAGCATAAAATACATTTTAACGAGTGCATCACATTTCATACTAGCAAAATTATTGATAAGTTCCAGTTTGGGGTATTTTACATGTCCATATTAAAAGTGCTTGAAAGACTGCTTGACTGCAGTGATTAAAGCCAGACTCTACTATTTCACTTCGATTTGTACAACGAAGTGAAAAAGTAGGGTCTGACTCCAGTCAGACTGGCTTGTCATGATTTTTAGGACTGATCTTGGGCCAAAATTTGGCAGCAGTCCCAATTGAATAAACCCGTATTTTCCCAATATATATTGGAAGTTTTCCCAAAGAATACCATACTATATTTGTGATCAAAATCAGTTTGTTTATTTCATATTTTTCAATAAACTGCAGTAGGTTTTTATTTGGTCAGCCATTTTGGATTTCCTTATTAGATAATCCATACCACTATTGTTCTAGATGTAAGTTATAAGATAACTCATACCTAAAATATTCTTGAGTTGCTTGAAATAGTAATATAGATATTTGAAATTGCTTCTCATTTGACAGGGGTTTTCTTGAAATCTCAGTTAAGCCTAATTGACACTTAAATTCTCAATTCTTTGGGCCCCAGCCCCCCCCCCCCCCCCCCAAAAAAAAAACCAAACTGACCGCAGTTATTTTTACATTGTATTCTAGCTTGAACTTAATTCTGAAAATTGCTAGTAAATTTTCAATTTTGCTAGTAAATGCTTTTGCCACTAGCAAAAATTTGTTTAATATGGTAATAAAAGTTAATTTTAAACCCTGTTTGTATACAAACTTTACGAACAACCCTCTTATTCTTCAAAAAGAGATTCATTAGCTTATTAAAATCTAATGGATACATTACCTTTATAATATATCTTATATCAATGATATTACAGTTGACAAGATAGGACGGTGGTAGAGGGGGTATTATAAATCTGTCTCCACTCCAAACGGTAGAATCTCCGGGATTTAGGTTCTGGTATTGAATGGTGTTGATAACTTTACGATCTTGTCGGCTTTTCCTCGTCGCATGAAAGGTAGTTATCTTCATTAAGAAAAAGTTATTTAAGAGAAATCATACTTCCTCTAGTTAGTAATAACAAGGTCATCCGCTAAAAGATGAAAAGGTAGTTAAAACGTAATTCCCACTTATAAATGTATGCCAAATATACACAATGTATGCAATTGCAAAAGACAAAGGACACTTAATCACAAGAGAAAATTGAATTGAATTTATAAATTGCAATTTTTACCAAACTCTGCAACTTTCCAGTTACCCCCGAGCTCTCTCAAAACAATGATATGCCGATTTAATATCATAAAAGAAGTTAGAAGATTACTATGCCGCCTGTAATCGAAGATTCGGGGGATAACGTTTTTAGTCTTCTGATCCATACCTTTTGATTGGTTGGCTCTAGAGCTTTTTAATTTCACATGTGTATTCCTTGTGACAACACCTTTCTTTGGGTACAACATATTTGACCTTTTGACCTCGACCTTCGAGTGTGACCCACTTTCGCAAAATTTTACCAAATTTTAACATTGACCATAACTTTTGAACGGTTAGTGCTAGAGCTTCCATATTTCACATGTTTATTTTTTGTAGAATACCTTTCATTGGTTTCAACATTTTTTTTACCTTGACCTTGGAGATTGACCTTCTTTTTAAAAACTTTAATCATGGCGATATCTTTTGAGTGGTTGGTTCTAAGACTTTCATAATTCAAAGGTCTCTTACTTGTGACAAGATATTCTCTTAAGATCTTTAAGACATTTTGGCTTTTAAGTCGATATTGGATCTTTAACTTTGGTCATATCTTTTGAACGGTCGGTGTTAGGAACTTTATATTTCATAAGTCTAATACTTGTGACAATGCCTTCCCTGGTTTCTCAACATATTTTACCTTTTAACCTTGACCTACTTTGGCCATAACAGTGGAATGATTGATGCTAGTGCTTTCATATTTCTTTTGTGCATTACTTGTAACAAGACCTTTTTTGAGTATCAACATTTTTTTTATCTTTAGACTTTGACCTTAGGCCCTTTATTTTTTTTTAGCTCACCTGAGCCAATGGCTCAAGTCAGCTTTTCTGATCACAGTTTGTTCGGCATCCGTACATGAAACTAAAGTGGAAGCATCCTCAGGTAGTGCAGATTAAAATCGTGACCCCTGGGGGTAGGGTGGGGCCATATTGGGCGATCAAAGTTTATCGAAAGAATACATAGGGAAAATCTTCAAAACTCTCCTTCCAAAGAACAGCAAAGCCATGATCGGTCTTATTTATATGGAAGCATCCCCAGTTAGTGTAGTTTCAAGTTTGTTCAATTCATGACCTCCAGGACTAGGGTGGAGCCACAATGAGCGATTGTTTTACATAGGAGTACATAGGAAAAATCTTTAAAGACTTTCTCCTCAAGAACAGCAAAGCCATAATTGATCATATTTATCTGGAAGCATCGTCAGGCAATGTAGAATCAAAATTGTTCAAACCATGGCCCTCAGGTGTACGGTGAGGCCACAATGGGTCATCAAAGTTTACATAGAAATATATACGAAATATCTTTTTTTAAAAAAAACTTCTTCTCAAGAACAGCAAATCCATAACTAGTCATATTAAAACAAAAGATCCTCATGCAGTGTATGGGGGGAGGGTGGGGTCACAACAGGGGATCAAAGCTATACAAAGGAATATCCAGGGAAAATCATTACATAATTCTTCTCAAGAAGAGCAAAACCATGATTAGTCAATTTGATTCAGAAGCACCCTTAAATACTTTAGTTTGAAGTTAGTTCAAATCATGTACCTCGGGGTTAAGGCGGGCCACAATAGAAGATTAAATGTAAAACGGAAAAAAATCTTGAAAATTCTTCTAAAGACTTGATTAGTCAAAGAATTATGGAAGCATCCTCGGTAATGAAGATTCAAGTTTGTTGACATCATGCCTTCCCCCATCATCCGGAGAAGGCGGATATCGGGACCACTATTATATTTATATTTTTCAATGCTCATTTCTTTTTTCCCTTAGTCATTGTTCTCAGGTGAGCGATGTGGCCCATGGGCCTTTTGTTTATAAATATTATGACCTCATGACCTTGACCGTGGAGTTTGATCTACTTTTGAAAAAACATTAACCTTAGCCATATTTTCTGAAAGGTGTGTGCAAGGACTTTCATATTTCACAGGTATAGAACCCATACTTCTGACCTCTTGACATTGAACCGGGGGAGCATTAATGTTTCGCAAACACATCTTGTTTTTTCAAAACGTTTTACATCTAGCTTTTCATGCCGAAATACTTATTTCATTTTGAGGCCATAGTTCAATGTAACGGCGGTTATGATGATACACAATGTGTTGTCTGAAGATGCTCTATCCACCTGCCATATATCATGAGCCTAGATTTATATGCAAGTATGAATGAGTGGTACCAACATGAAGACTATTCTCTTAACCTCTCCTTTTTTGTAAAAAGGGAACCTTAATTTAACAAGATTATTGAAAGCAAATACCATTTCCAAGTTAGCAGACATGCCACATTCACGACCAGTCATATTCTGGGCACTAGCCTCAAAATATATGGATTCTCCGGGAACATAACCGATCCGGTTTACTTTTAACGTTCCTACTATTGGACCTGATTTACAACACAAGCAGCAAAGGTTCTTTGAATCTGTTGCCTCAGCCCCTTGCTGCAAACGAAACATAATGTGATGTTTTTAAAAGTCGTATCACACAAAAAAGGTTTTTATACTGTATAATCAATAATATTATACATTAATTATAATAATATTTTCCAATGCTTACTGATGCTAATGGTAGTTGGTTGAGATCTAGGGCACATAAGACTGAAAATGCACGAACTGTGTGATCGTCAAATCTCCAAGGCCTGTCAATGGTACCTTTAATGATATATCGAACGTGACCAGTGCTCCCTTCAAATGAGGATGGTAAATTTGGAGGCAATACAAATGAGAAAGGAAATGTGTGTTGTCCTGGAGGCAAACTGTATTCATCTCCACCACTTAGGCCTACATATTCAAGGAAGTAAGAAAGTAACAAAGAATTTTTGGCTAAAATACAATAAAATAACGATAAATAAGCACAGGTTTTAAATATGGGAAATCTGAGCTTTATAAATTTGAAATATTTACCATTTCAATTCAAAATATGAATTAAGAAATATGAAAATATGTAAAGCTTCTCTCTTACCTTTTCCAAACACCGACATTACATTGTTGAAATAGTACTCCGTCGCACTGTAGGTTACAGTGTGCCTATTCTGACCACTCCCACGGCTCTCTGTCCACCTTACGTATCCTTTCCCCTCAAAATTCAACCTAATTTCTAACAATATATATCATGACAATTATCAAAATGTTTATACATTTTATAGGATTACTAAATACCTCTCCCCCCAAAAAATTGGCAAGCAAAAAAAAAAAGTTATATAACCTCCCAAGTTGAAAAATACTACTTCTTGGGGGTTGGACTTTCTTTAACTTTTTGGTACATTCAGTTTATTAAATGTTGAAATTTGCTAGTGTTCGACCGTACAACAACAAAAACGGGAGAGGGGCAAGCTGCTTCAAAATGACAATTTACATCGTATATTTACAGCTACAAAAAGCGAGGGGGGGGGAGCAGCTTCAAAATGACAATTAACAAAGTAAAACTACAGCAAAAAGACTTTTCTCAGAAAAAGTGCCCCCCCCCCCCGGCGTGTCTTGCTACCATGTATGCTTGTATGACAAAGCATCCAAATTAATAATAAAAAATTGAAATATACAAAATGATTTATTCATAAAATAGAAATTTCTTTGACGAAAGAATGTAATAATCAATAAATTGTTTTACAATGAATTCGAAGAAATTTGTTTTGTATTATTTTCATATACCCATTGTAAATCAGGTCCAATAGTAGGAACGTTTTTGAGGCTAGTGTCCAGAATATGACTGGTCGTGTGTCTCAGTTTATTGTCTATATATTAGTATATAATAATTTACAAAGTTTATCAATTACGTACGCTATAAAAATCTGCACCACGTGCATGCAATTATCAATGGGATTCAACATAAAGCAGACAGAAACTTACTTTGCTGTCAGTAAACACATTGGGTCAACGGTCACACATTGAGTGGAATGCCCCCGAAAAATAAAAAATAGGAGATATCTTCAGGTTTAAAGAATGAAGGCGTACTAGGCGAGGACAATCCCCCGCTCTGAGAAAGATATTTCTCAATTCTAAAAGTTCAGAAAATTAATACATTTATTTTTTCAAAAATTGTGTGTCGGTATCATCTTTTACACATTTGAATCCCTTACTTCATTGAATTTTTGTTTTTAAGGAACAGTGTGTGTTCAAAGAAAAAAAAAATCCTCATGCTAGCAATGGTGCATAGTGTTTAATCGCTATGCAGTCTTCTTGTATCTCGAGTGTGTCAGTGTGAATTAAATAAACTAGTTTGTTGAAGCGTATATTTTTTTTTAAATTTTCATTTTTCATATAGAATAAGTTCTGACTCCATTTTTTTTTAAAAACATAAAACAATGTAAAATAGATTTCACATTCATTTTCCCGTCATTTAAGGTCAAGATCTAGTAAATGAAGAGTGCCTACAGATTTCTCAAATTTGAGAAACAAATTCCTTTAATAATATATTACAACTGTAGCTAAATAAATTGAGGTGTATCGGGGCATAATATTTAGATAAACGGAACGAAAAAACACCTTTTAACTTGCCCTTTTCAATGAAAAATGAAGAAAATCAGGAATAAAAATGGGAGTTTTCTCCATCTCAGACAAACAAAATGTATCAATATTGCCTACAGTCTCTCAGTAAACGGTTTTTCATATCTTCTTGACGTCTTCTTTAAAATGATATTAAATTGAATATAGGTATCGGGGTTCCTTTTGAAATGATTTCAAATTGAATTCCATGAAAATGTGTCATTTTCTACTTAATTCTGTTATAGCCATAAAATACGGGAAAAAATAAAATTAAATCAATTATGACGTCATAATGGGTCTAGCACCAAAAGACAGACTAAACTCATTTACTAGATCTTGACCTTAAACGTTTATGTAGAATGGAGACTTTTTCATATTCATATTCAAATTCATATTTCATATTCAAAATCATGTTGAATGGCTCTAATAGACCCATTTTCCACTAAATACAACATGTATGCTTTAACAGTCAACTTAAAAAACTAATTAAAAACAATGAATTATTCAGTTAAATAAATGAATAAAATGTGTTAAAGATGACATTACTGACAACATAACTTTTGAAAAATAAAACTTTTCCATGAACTTTTGAAATTGAGAAATATAAAGTCTCAGAGCGGAGGGTTGTTCTCGCCTTGTACGTCCCCATTCTTTCTGAAAAGTAACGCTTGTTGCTACACGTCCGTATATGTACAACTTGATTGTCGGTTATATAACACCCTCAAAAAGTTTGTGCAGACTAAACATAAACAGTAAAAATGAAAATAACACTCACATCAAGAAAATCTTAGTCTAAGATCCTGCGCCTTTTTATTTATTTATTTTTTTATATTTTTTATAAGTTTAAAATATTTTTAATCAAACAAGGAGAAAAAAAAAAGATTTATGTACGCTGAATTGAAACGAGGAAAAGAACATAATAATTCTTTGGGAAAACTCTTTGTTAATAATAATTTCATTTTCCACATGCTAGAGCATAGCTGCAGAACTGAAGCTCTCTAGAGAGCTACAGACCCAAGCGTTGTCAAAACCTTCGATTTACACCGCCGCTTTTTGTTTTAGGTTTTTATTTCTTGTATTTTATGCTTTCCCCCGCTTTAAGAATGGTATCTGATAATCAGGGATGGATATCGCCTAAAATTTCGTATCGTGATATATCACGATTTTTTCCTCAGAATATCACGATAATATTGTGATATTTTTACACACAAATATTTTTACAACAAATTCCAATGAATTTCCTTATTTCTAACAAAGATGCTATAAAAACATTGCTTCACTTTTTAAAGTTTTATTTTTATAATATAAAGCATGTTTGGATGCCGTTGTTTAACTTTTTTCAACATTCTTTACACTTCCTGTAATTGTTATTTAATAGTTTGAACAAATAAATGAATAATTTCTGGAATTTATAATTATGTACCAAATACCGATATTTTAGTCTCCGTATCACGATACGTATCACACAATAAAAAAATCTCGATATACCGGTATACCGATAAAATCCCTACTGATAATTAATTGAAAATTTTACTCCTATTCCTGATACTTTGTTTATTTATTTATTTTATTACCTTTCAACGATTCCAAACGGTCGTATGTGGTTTTGGAGTATCAGTTAAAAAATGCATTCCGACATCCATGTTAATGTCCTGAAATAACACGCCCAAGTTATACATGTATATATATCTCATTTCTTTTTATGCCCCCGCATCGAAAGATCCCGGGGGTATATTGTTTTTGTCCTGTCCGTCTGTTTGTCTGTTTGTTTGTCCGTTTGTCTGTTTGTCTGTCTGTCTGTTGTCAACTTTAACCTTGCCCATAACTTTTGATTGGTTGGAGCTATGACTTTCATATTTCACATGTGTATTCCTTGTGACAAGACCTTTCTTTGGGTACCATCATATTTGACCTTTTGACCTTGACCTTGGAGTTTGACCCACTTTTGCAAAATTTTATGAGACTTTAACCTTGGCCATAACTTCTGAACAGTTGGTGCTTGGGGTTTCAAACTTCACATGTGTATTCTTTGTGACTAGGCCTTCCTTTGGATACCAACAACTTTGACCTTTTGACCTTGACCTTGGAGTTTGACCTACTTTTGAAAAACTTAAACCTTAGCCATAACTTTTGAACAGTTGGTGCTTAGGTTTTCAAACTTCACATGTGTATTCCTTGTGACAAGACCTTCCTTTGGATATCAATCACTTTGACTCTTTGACCTTGACCTAGGAGTTTGACTTACTTTTGAAAAACTTTAACCTTGGCCATAATTTTTGAATGATTGATGCTAGGGCTTTCATACTTCGTATATGTAATCCTTGTGACAAGACCTTCCTTTGGATACCAACCACTTTGACCCTTTGACCTTGACCTAGGAGTTTGACCTACTTTTGAAAAACTTTAACCTTGGCCACAACTTTTGAATGGTTGATGCTAGGGCTTTCATACTTCACATAAGTAATCCATGTGACAAGACCTTCCTTTGGATACCAACCACTTTGACCCTTTGACCTTGACCTAGGAGTTTGACCTACTTTTGAAAAACTTTAACCTGTGCCATAACTTTTGAATGGTTGATGCTAGGGCTTTCATACTTCACATATGTAATCCTTGTGACAAGATCTTCCTTTGGATACCAACCACTTTGACCTTGACGTTTGACTTTTATTTAAAAAACTTTAACCTTGGCCATAACTTTTGAACAGTTGTATCTAGGTCTTTCAAATTTCACAGGTGTATTCCTGGAGACAAGACCTTTCTTTGGGTATCAACATTTTTTATCTTTTGGCCTGGATTTTGACTTGCATTTGAGAAACTTTAACCTTCGCCATAAGCTGCCATACGGGGGCATCAGTGTTTCACAAACACATCTTGTTTTCTTTTTTTTTTTTACATACATGTTGTCTTCTTTATAGACAATATTCATGAAATTTGAACCTCCTGCATTTTTTAATATTTTTTATTTACATTTTCTGGGCTAAGTGTATGTTCTTTGAAAGACCTTTTTTAACACAACCCCCCAACATGGACGTCGGAATGGGAATTTTTTAATCCGACATTCCACAACCATTATTAAGGGCTGTTTTGGACTGTTGAAAGGTAAATAAAGTATCAAGAATAGGAGTAAAATAAATAGTTATTTATTGGATGCCATTATTAAAGCAGGGGAAAGCATAAATTTAAGAAATAATACCCGAAGCGAGCGACAAAAAAGCGGCGGCGTAAATCGAAGGTTTTGATAACGCTTGGATCTGTAGCTCTCTGCGTTATCTATCCGAATTTTCTCAAGCAGAGAGCTACAGTTTTGGAGCTTGTGCACTGACTTTAAGATACTGACGAAAATCGTACGAAGAGAAGTTCGGACACAGATTTGATAATCAATCTCTATCCAGAGTTGTCGTTCGGGGGACCGCTCCTTGGGAGCGAAGCGGAAGACAACTCTGGATAGAGAAAGATATATAGGCTTTGAGATTTTTTACCTCTCATCTTCATCTCGGACTCGAGGTCCACTGTCGCCCTTCCGCTGACCGTCTGCCCCGCCCAATACAATCCCTGAAGATTATCCAGGTCTATCTGGAAACTCCTTAACTTTCCCATCGTGACTCTGCTTTAACATATACACTTGGAAGGAGAAAAGATTGAAATGAATTTACAGAAATTAAAAACTTTGTTTACTACGTAGTTGGTACATCTAAAGCTATATATATATATATATATATATATATATATATATATATATATATATATATATATATATATATATATATATATATATATATATATATTGCTGGGAATTACGAAAGAATACATGTCAATTTTTTTCGTACATTATTTTGCAATCGCTCTGCACGGTTTAACAATGCCTGGAGATTCTCGAAATTCTTAAAATTGTGTGTCTAAATTTGGATTGAAAGGGATTTAAGATTGAAAATGTTGAACTCAAAGATTTTCAAAAATATACGAAATATATATATTACACATTGAAAATGCAGGCTTCACTTCACGATGAAAGAATGAGATATTTACTTATGGAATGATTACGTATTTTAGATAAGACTATAATAAGCTCTCAGCCATTTACATTTCCAGTTTAAAGAATATCGATCCAGAGTTTAAAGGGAATAGGGACATGGCAAAACGTGCCTCAATTTTCATTGATCCGACTCGATCAAATGTTGTTTGCGATATTCATATGCATGCAATGTTAAAATGCAACGATCCTGATTACTTTTGTAGATCGTTTTAACCAAACGTCTTGAAAAATGTCCTAAGGTTTTTCTTTTCCAGTTGAGTTAAATTGTAAAACCTTGCATAGTTTCAGCTTTTTTCACTACTAATCTTTCATGTAAAAATGTCTTTTCGTCTCTTTCATACTTTCTGCTGCACAGCTTAGAAAAACAATAATTTAAGAATAGATATATTTATTATTACCATGATGCAGACATGTTATATAAATGATAAGCATGGTGAACGTTTCCATGAACACTGCGTATCTCTAATTAAAACTTACTTCAATTACGGAACTTATCTCTCATTAAAACTTACCTTATGAGAGGAACGTTATCCGTCAGAACTATTAACGAATATCTCAACTTTTTCAAGACATTCAAAATATTTCACAATAAACACTTAAATACCAAAGCACTTTTGAGAATGATTGTGTGCTTATTTCACATTTAAATGTCTATGTACAGTATATATAGGTCAGATGACTTTTAAAGACATATACAACTGTATATGCATTTACCGTAATATCTTAGATAGACAGTGCTGAATCATACATGGACTTGTAGCTTTAATCAGTTAATCAATTTTGCATACATTTTTCGATACATGTAGTTATTTTATGTCATGAAATTAAAAAAAAATTGTAGTCTTTTCTAAGATACTTTACTTTACACATTCTGGGCCGTTGAGATATTTACGCAAGTCGAGGTCGGATCTCTTATACAAAAACAAAAGTTCGTACAAATAGAAAAGAAAGGATACCAAAATTTAAAATTTACAAAAAAAAAAAATAATACTTAGTTAAAATACCTGTAGGTGAATATGACCATTTCTTTCTGTTCTGACAACATCCCACCTCTGGAATGTAGAAGAGAACATTACCATGTTAGTGCTGCGAGGATAATACAAGAGGCACTTACAGTTGACGTTTAGGTGAAGTGGGAGTTTTTAAAGAACTAATATATAAAACTGAAGGAGAAATTAGAAAAATCCTCTATTTCTTCAATCAATGAAGGACTTTGCACAACAAAGACTTCGATGTTCACAATATTTTGTGAAAATGAAAGTTAAGTGATGGGTTATGACTTCAATCAAAAGTAAAATCCTGATAAAATAGTAATATATTTAATGCATTCTTTCTAATCTAATATGCAAAAAATGCTGTTCAACCGTTGCTGATAACGTAAAATTGTCATTCATAAGAAAAATCGTTTTGCCATCATAGTTTTATAATTAGACACACGTCAATAAAATTCTGTCGTACAAGTTCACAAAATGATGTTCCAGTGGCTCTTTCTGGTAAGTTTGATAATGATATCCTTCAAATCCATTTAAGATATTCTGTCAACAGATTTAAAATTAATCTCACTGTGAAACTAATACTGGAATGTTTAATGTAATATTTTAACAGTTAATCCTTTGGTAGAGATTACATTATACCAATAATTATACTAACATAAAGGGAAGACAGTTTTGTGTTTCTTTGCATCATTTAGGGTTGGTCATGTCTTCCTGGTCAAAATTTGATGTTAAAACACTACTAAGAAATATTTACACCTTGTTGTGAAGACATACTTTAAAAAATCAAAGTACTGACAGTATTGAAAGACAGGCACGATAGGGGAAGGGGGGGGGTAGCCAGAAAAAAAAATTACAACTCGCCTGAAAAAAAAAACAAACTGAAAAGCAAAAATAAAATAAATAAATTTAATTAAAGAAGGGAAAATTGTCCAAACACGAAAATGCTATTTCGTGGGGAAGGGTTACAAATTCCTTTCACAACCACATTTTATTAATACATTACCAAATTATCATGATTTAACTATTCTTCAACAAAAAAGAGGGGACAAACAGCCTTTCAATGAATATTTTAAAGCTTAATTGCTAATCATCAACGTTAACATTCAAATGTTGGAGGTAGGCTAACTTAACTTCCAGTTCTAGGGTAGGACTTCATTTGTCATTGTGCCTCTTGACCTTTGGTAACCTGGCTTTGTACTTCATTTGAACGGGGAACGTTTGCCGGCGTATGCCGGTTGGAAACGACCGGCAAGGAATCGCCGGTTTTAGATATATGGCGGGAAAATATAACGATTATTAAAATGCAGATTCGTTTAAACAAATCTGCATGTTCTTTAATCATTTTCTTTTCTTAAGCTAATTTTTATTCATATATTTAAAATCTAGTGCTATTTTCAAAAATTAAAATTCTGAATGAGATCCATGATTTTTCTTTGAATTTCGAATTATTCAACATCTTTTCTCACAACATACGGCAGGCCGTTTTTGTAATATTTCTATTCGAATATTCGTCTCAAATGTAAATATAAGTAATAAATAACAAGGTTAAAAAACTCTCTGGGAAATGAACTTGGTTGGTACGTGATCAAATCTACTTCAATCTTCACAGGATTCACAGGATTTGATCACGTGGCCAACCAAATTCATTTCCCAGAGAACTTTTTAACCTTGTTATCTATTTCTTAATTAACTATACTCATACAGCATTACTCAAAATCGTAAATTAAATTGTAATTTTCAGGTTAATCACTTTAACCTTTATCATATTTCGACAGATGTATTCATGAAAATAATTATAATCTTATTTTATATATAAAAAAAAGTTTGAATAATATTTATCATTGAAAAAAATCTGCAAATTTATGCGCTTTAATTAATATTCTTTTACACTAAAAATATAGCATGTTTGGCTATTAAAAGTATAAACTGTAAACAGGAAATAAAATATTTTCTTGAATCATTATCAAGCCTTTAATGATTTTAATGCTGATCGGTTGAAAGTATCTTGTAGTTTAAAATAATGTAAGAAAAACTTTGCGTCAGTAATGTAAATTTTGAAATATTGGTCAAAATATGCAATTTTCAGGCAAATTACAGTGTCAATTATCTTGACTTCTTCAGCATATATCTTTATTCCTTAGCATAATCTGTTGAACGAATGTTTAAATGTGTAAAATTTGCTCTAATTATATCAAATGAAACCTTTATTTAAAATTTCTAGCATATAATGATGAAAGAATTCTCTGAGTTTACAATGTTGGGTTTAAGTTCCAGTATATTAAATTAAGCAAATGCGTAGAATTGCAGAATTTACTTCTAAAAATCCTTCCAACACAAGAAATAGTCCCCCATAAACCTTTTTAACGAGGTTCGCTCCTGAGCTTTTGAGCAGATTTATATCTTAACCTAGATTTCAAAAACTTTGCTTAAAGTTTTAATTCTTACAATAATTTTGGATTCTACAATGCCAATTAAACTATATTCAGTTAAAGCTCCAGGATTAAATTCCATACCAAAAGCATTAAGTGAGGAACTATATTTTGTGGCGGAAGGTTTTTTAAAAGAAAATGATCATTTTTTTCTCTTTCGAAGTATTTAAAGGATGTGAAGTTTGGGTTCCTATTTTTACATGCAGTCTGCACACAGAGTTATTTTGTGCAGTGAACTGTTTTATACTGGTCTTAAACTATATATTAAATAAACTGTCATGAATTCTATCATCATATTTGATAATTATAGCAAATATATTGTGAAATTCAAGAAAAAAAATATCCCTATTTTAAGCTTAAAATTAGCACTATTTTAGTTATACCTAAAAATTAACATCACAGACCCCCACTTTTTATTTTATTTTCTGAATATATAAGATACTTTTAAACATTCTTCTTAAATTCAGTAAAATGTCATTACTTTCAAATGATATTTTTGCTTGTTAAATTTTTAATGGCGAAAATTGAAATTTTTTGAGTGCAAAAAGGTCAAATAATTGAACAAATTTTAATGTGTCTATTCAAGATGAAATAAGATTGTGTTTGTTCCCATAATCTATTTGAATAAAAAAAATATTGGAGGAAAACTTTTAAAAATTGATTTATGTGAAAGACATATTTACAGTGCAAAAAGGTCAAACTAAATGCTCTGTAGCACCAAAAGAAGCGCATTTACCCCCATTTTTTGTTTTGATTTTTAACTAAGCTATGTGTATAAATTCTAAAAATATACTTGATAAAAAATTCTCATTACTTTTGATTCCAGGATCCAACCTCCTTAAACGATTTTATGAGCAGTGTACGAGCAGTGTTTGAATTGAATATTTTATAATTTGCAATGTTTGATTTAAATATGTTTTAAAAAGTGAACTGTAAACAATAGTTTTGAAATTAGAGATTTTGATCCAACTTTTCTCAAAAAATTACGAGTGACATATCTTAGTACAAATCTCTTTTCTGCTTAAACTTTCTGTAAGACGTGACATTCTCGGCGATACATAATTAGCGTCTCTCAAATAGTGACCTAGATTCTCATTGGTTGCCGGATTAGCTCATCAATACTGAAATTTGCACAGCTTTTCATTCACGGGTGAAATACACATGGGATAAAAACGAGTCAGAGTCAACGAGTGACGCAAGAAACCAATTACATCGTTTCTTACAGGAAAGAGGTGTGGCTTATGCCGTCTCATCGTTTGTTAATTAACAACAATCTGAAGTTGCTAATGTTATTAATTTCTTAACCAATGAGAATCTAGGTCCCCATTTGAGAGACACTAATTATGTATCGCCGAGAATGCCACGCCTTACTGAAAGTTTAATAGAAAAGAGATTTGTACTAATTATTAAAATGAAGGACTTCATGCAGTTTAGACGTAGATTTTTAAATATTGATTGACAGAATGTTTTCCCAAATGAGCTCTGTCGTTGAAGCTGTCTTGAAAACTGCTTAATTTGTTCAAGTCATATGCAGCGCGAAATTAATAAATGCTTAAAAAATTTCAAACTCAATTCATATTCTGAAATATTTGGCGAGGTACATGCCCTGTTCCCTGACCTATCTACCCTTTCATTTTTGGAGCATTTCTTCCACTTTTATTACTACATTACGCTATGAAAATCAATTTTACGCTTTTGAAATTTCATGCTTAAAAATTTAGTTATTTGAAGGATGTCATATTTTTTTTATTAATGCAGAAAGATTTAATTAATTGTGATATGCAAGCTACTGATCAGATACATGCACATCATTAAGAGTCATTATAAGTTGGTACACGTATGTAAGGATGTGGATTACAGAAACTAGAAATTGTGTCAGTTAATGATTTGAAAATAATGTAAATTACGTCCTTTATGATATGATATACAAGGAAGAGTCTGATATACATTAAATAGAATCACAGTGAAACAACATAATTTGAAAAATACAAGAATTACACCATGTATCTCTGAAACTCCACCAAAATGAGGATTTAGATGACATCTCTGCAATAAAAAGTGTAGGCAGTTCTGTGTTCCTCCTTCATGAAAATTATTATGGATCTAGATCTATTTATGGTTATGTACATGTATATATACATATGAAGTTTATTTTAAGACAACAGAAAGCCTGTAACTTTATTTAGTGCGTCTTTGCAACGTCTCATATGCCATCATTTATAGAAAAATCTTAAAATCTAATATGGCAAAAATAAAAACTAAACTGAGTAAAATTGAAATGAGTTATTTGATGAAGATAAAAATTATTCATATGTGAATAGTTTTTCTCTCAACTACGTATAAATTCCTCTAAATGGTACCAAAGGAGAAAACATGAAATTACATTCGAAAAACACAATCTGAAATGTTGTTTCACAAAATATAACTGACAGAATAAAAAATCAATGAAATAAACCATCAAATTAATTTGTATTCCTCTCGTTTTGTTTGATAAGTATTTATCTGCTTTTATTTTGCAGAAAAATCCCTAAAAGAAATTGAACATATGCAATCATGACATTTAAATTACCACAATGGAGTCCGTAAAAGAGGTGCATAGAAAATTACTATCGAAACTTTTAGATTTTATTAAACTTAACTCATGGAGGTTATTTATTGGACAAATCACAGAAGCTCCGTATCCAAAAGGCAATGTGGTCGAAGATTTTAACATTCTTGAGGCTAAGGGGTATTTGTCACCTGGTAAATATGATGTACTTCTAAAATATTTCGTTGACTGTGATCAAAGAGCGATTGAATACATCGAAGAAGCTCAGAAAACCATTAAAGAATTGAGGTAATTTATTGAGGGGACTTTATTCTATGCTGACGATACAAAAATAATTTGATTTATTTTAATAAGAGAAGCATGCTGAGTATTTTCTAATTTAAAAAATGTATATATTTTTTTAATTCCAGAGAACCTTTGAAAAAAGTCAACAGTTCAGGTTATTGCACTATTTTAAATGATAAAAGGAAAAGGATCTCAAGTTTTTTCAATTTGATATCTTGTGAATAATATATTTTATTTTATACTATCCAAATTTCCAGAGCCATTAACAAGCAAAATTATAGGCCGTAATGAATGGGGAGCAACACAACCAGGGGGAAAGGTAGATGATTTACAAAACCTACCTAAGTACGTCATTATATCACACAGCGGTTCTGGTATCAACGCATTCACAGAACACCAATGTGCAGAGGAAGTGCGTTCATATCAGACCTATCATATTTATAACAGAGGTGTGTAGACAGATCCGTTCCTTCACTGAATTCAAATCAGTATACTCAAAAATAATTCTCAGAGGAAATGCAATGAAGCGCATCGAAGCGGTAAAATTTATCGTTTAATGGTACGTTTGGATCTTTCTTATCGAACGTCTATTGTTACATTATGACACGCCCATTTCTGTAGAAACCAGACAGAAATATTCGTCTCAGTGCTTTATGAGGCACCTCACTCTCTGCGGCTAGCAACATGAGTTTTGCTGAAATGGATATTTTATGAAGTTAGAAGAGACAGTTAGAGACCACCCGTGTCTGCAAAATTAACATATTGCAAAGAATATGTACATAATTATGAATTTATTCTGTTTATTGAAGTTATCACAACCTACTAGTATATATCGGTCGAACACGTGTTCACTCGGTGTTTATGTAGCCTGCCAATCTGATTGGCTATTGTATTTAGTGAATACCTATCCTACATACCCTCTTTTTTTCCTTTCTGAAGAAATAGGCGTGTCACTGTGTTACAACCAACGTTCAAAAGAAAGCTCAAAACATTCCATTCAAACAGAAAATTTTACCACTTCAAGGCGCTTCATTGTAATATCTAAAGGCCGGTATACACAGTAAGATTTATATTTTATAATACTTTCGTAGTATAATACAAATATCTTAACGTGTGTACCGGCCTTAACTCATCTTGAATATAGTGAATGGGCATATTCTTATTTTAAGGATGGTCTGATATTGGATACAATTTTTTGATTGGAGAGGATGGGAATGTATACGAGGGTCGTGGATGGGGCAAGGAAGGGGCTCACACGAAAGGACTCAACAAATACAGCATAGGTGTGTTGTTAATATATGTCTAAACACTTAAATTCTTATTTTTGTATATCAGAATTATGCACAGTTCTCCCCATTCCATTTATTAACTATTGCTTTTAATATTTATATTAATTAGGACGACAGTTATGAAGGATTTAAAATACATTTTTCAAGGAAAAAAATGATGTAAACTTGGTACATATCCCATTCAGTGACTGAAATAATATTTTACCATGTCTACCTTCTTTTATCAGGAATATGCTTTATTGGAAACTTTGACAGACGTCTTCCAAACCAGAGAGCACTTGAAGCTGCTAAAGATCTGATTCGAACAGGTGTGAAAGAAGGCAAAATACCGACTAATTTCATTCTGAAGGGTCACAGAGATTTTAGTAATACTGCGAGTCCTGGGGAATGTCTGTATCACGATTTGCAGAAATGGCCTTTTAGTCATGGAAATTGATATTAGTAATGTCGACCGAGGTTATATAATGTTATTTCAAGCTATTATTTTATAATGAATACTTCAAATGATAAATTGACATCTATTCGTACTTTAATACAGGATTTAACTTATTACACGTGTACATGAAGTACGTTGTAGTACTTACAGTACAAAACAATGCCTGAAAATGTCGATGATATGATTTGTACCACTTACGACCTTCTTTTCTGGTGGAATTAAACCTCTTTGACAATGTTTTAAGATCTTTATATTTTGCCTAAGAAATAGGAATTTTGTAGGTGTATGGAGGTTTCAATTAATACTAATGCAACAGCATACAATTATTCTTATTTTTTCTTTTTCTGCCCCTTGTAAGGGCATTGCTCGGAACTCGTCATCAAACTCATACTTGAAGTAACCCTAACAAAAAATACTATAGTTAACTATAGTTTACTATATTTTTTTACCATGGAAACATGGGTAAAGAAATTTCCCTAGCAACCAGCCAATTTTCAGCTTCGATGGACTAAAAAATATATTTTCTTTCAGGCTCAAATTAAATGTAAATACTAAAAGAATTCCAATAGATTGTTGGAAGACCTGGTCTCCAAAAACCACATAGATATTGTCAATCAGAACTTAACTCAGCATCTTTTTAATGTCAACTTCAGAGTACTTCTGTGTACAATAAGAATGTTTTTTTTTAACAAAATAATTTTGCAAATGACCAATGACAAGGTAAGTAAATTTACGAGTTCCATTTTTATTGAAAAAGCAGTTGTCAATGATATCTAAAAGCCTGAACTTTAATTTATCGTGGGAAATGGTTGTGTATATAGACGAAAAGTCGTAAGTTTTTAAGCTGTTGATTTTGGTAAAATCTTGTGATTTTAAATTTTCCAAAAGTTCCTTGGAATTTTTAAGTATCCACATCTGATTTACACCACTTCTCCAATATATTATTGCACAGTACTCTTAAAGTTTCTCCTTCACTACGGTTAATATCATAGTAAGGAGTAAAGAAAGAGGCTTGGTTGAACATTTACTGGAACCAGCTATGTATCTTTGTTTGTAAGGATTTTTATGAAGTTTCGGAATCCAATATAGATATGGTAATTCAAATTCATTTTGGTTGTTTGGAATATTAAAAATATTCAAAACTGACATATGATTTTCAAGAATTTCTTCCTTAGAAAGGGAACTATGAGTATAAGTTGGATTACCACTTGTAGAATTAAATCCAAGTTCCTCTAAAATACATTTAATATACATGTAATGAGCCTTACAAACAAAGACAATGTTGTTACCTGCTTTGTCAGCAGGGACCAGTACGTACTGATCATGTAATCTTTCTAATTCTTTTTTCACTTCTGGATTATTGAATACAGAAGGATAAATGGTTCTCAAATTGCCCCTCAATCTTTTAATGCGCGATTTTAACATACATCTGATACATTTAATCCATTCTGACAAATGTTAAGGTCTTCTTTTTCATGTCTGGCCCATCGCCTGGCGTAATCCTCTACAGAATCCATAATATTTATGAAATTCCGACGCCAGTTGAAGGATTGGGGTTCCCTATATTTAGGACCTTTTAAAATTAGTGATCTAAGGTCGTCATTATCAACTATATTTACGTCACCAGTAATAACGTTTCCAGCAGGACTATAGTTATAGGGTGAAGAAGAACATGAACACGATGGAGGATTATGTTTCAGATATTCGATATCCAGGCCCTGTAAAGTTTCTTGTAATTAAAAAGTTTGGAAGCAATAGTCGATGTATATTTGTAGGAAATACAAGGCGTAGTCTTTAACTTGAAATATGGTGGAATACAAGACTGGACCCTTTTGTGATTAAGAATATTACTTATATTAACCGCATCAATTCCTTTGTTGGCATATTGAAGTTAAAGGAAAAAACGGATTGTTTTAGCTGCATTTTCTTCAGTAAAACGTGGGTTTTTAAAAAACCTATGATTTGCAATATCCATAATCACAGATCCGAGCCTATATTCTGGTGTCGAGGAATCAAAAAATGGACTTTCCTTGATCTTTTCGAGATGTAGTAATCTTCAATCGTAAACTTGTAATTTGAAGACGTTTTAATATTATACAAAAATATGCTGCAAAATTGAAATTTTTGTTAGTCTTTTCTAAAATAAAATCCTAAAATAGATTAAACATAACGTAACTGTTTGGATCTCAATATTGCGATATTTAAGCCAGTTGAAGTCCGGTATTCTGTACAAAAACAATGTTTCGCACAAAAGGAAGATACCATTTAAAAAATTTAAAGAAATATCTATAGTTAAAATACCCGTTCTTGACGTTGAGATAAAGTGAAAGTTTTTTCAAAGTGCTAATAAAGCGGAAGGGGATATTATAAGAATCTTTATTCAAAAAATAAAATTCTTCGCATACCAAAAACTTGGATGTTTATACCATTTTGTAAAATGAAAGTTAACTGAAAAGTTTTTGTTTTCAACCAAAATTAAACCCGTTTAATTTATAAATATATTTTATACATTATTTCATATTTAATATGCCAAAATGCTATTTACCCGTAGCAAATGAATTTGAATTATGATTCCATAAGATTAAATTAGACACACGTCCTAAAAATTCTTTTGAAATGGAGTTCAAATGGGTAAATTTGATTGATATAACATTCACACACTAAGGTATTTTATCAGCAGGTTTAAATTCAATCTCAAAATGTTACATGCTTCAAAATGTTATAATACACTGTATGTGTTGTTTAAACAGTTAACCTTTTGATAAAGAAAACATTACATCATGAATTGTATATATTTTTTAAAATGAAAGTTAACTAAAAAGTTTCGGTTTCAACCAAAGTTAAACCCTTTTAAATCATAAATATATTTTATTCATTATTTCATATTTAATATGCCTAAATGCTGTTTACTCGTAGCTAATGAAGTTGAATTATGATTCCATAAGATTCTACAGGTTGGCCATCTTAGTTTTAAATTAGACACACGTCACTAAAATTCTTTTGAAATGGAGTTCAAATGGGTAAGTTTGATTGATATAACATTCACACACTATTTAAGATGATTTATCAACAGGTTTAAAATCAATCTTAAAATGATACATACTTTAAAATATTATAATATGTGTTGTTTAAACAGTTAACCTTTTGATATAGAAAACATTACATCACGAATTGTATATATTTTGTAAAATGAAAGTTAACTGAAAAGTTTCGGTTTCAACCAAAGTTAAACCCTTTTAAATTATAAATATATTTTATGCATTATTTCATATTTAGTATACCTAAATGCTGATTACCCGTAGCTAATGAAGCTGAATTATGATCCATAAGATTATACAGGTTGGCCATCTTAGTTTTAAATGAAACACAAGTAACTAAAATTCTTTTGAAATGACGTCCAAATGAGTAAGTTTGATTGATATAACCTTCACATACTATCTAAGATATTTTATCAACAGGTTTAAAATCAACATACTCTAATATATAATAATATGTTTTATTTTAACAAACCTTGTGGTAGCGATAACATTATCATGAGTTATATATTAAACAGAATAATTCTTCTTGGAAAGCAGCCAAAATACATGTACCTGTACCTAGCATTATTTTAATGATAACCGTTTACCCTAGCCATGTCTTCCTGGTCAAACTCTAGATGTTGTTCAAAACACTACCAAAAAGAATAAGTTACACCTTATGATATGATTTATGTCTTCTAGGCAAATGATCGACATGGCTTTACTAAATCAAAGTACTAACATTATTGTAAGAAGCAGGCACGTCATAGTTAAGCAGTTGAGACGTCATAGCTTAGCAGTTGTGAGATTGAAAGCATTGTAACATGGATTTTAGCAACATATTTGGGAAGAAATTTGCAGTTTTATTCTCTATCAAGATGGTTTATTTATTATCTTTATCATATTTCAGGCCGCAAATTACTTTTTAATTACATTGATATCCTTTTACACTATACGGAATATAATTTTGGTATCCTTTCACTCTGTGAGATAATATCAATTTTTATTCAATAAATAAATCACAATATTTCACTGTTTAAAATGTAATATTTACATTTCCAATGTCTTTGTCCGAGATAAAATTACAAATTGTAAAATTACTTTATTTCTACATAAATCTACTGGTTCATCGATAGGCGCGATTAAAATAAATCACGTGCGGGGCGGGACAAATAGAGACAGAAGCGGGGCTATTAACACGGGAATTTGCAGAATCAGGAGCATGTAAATATAAGGAATAACTGTCAGATTTTTTGGATTCATGACGATGATCAATCGATTGGCTTGCGTGATAATTTTATGCATAAACGCCTTCGGCGTTTATGCAAATTATCACGCAAGCCACTCGATTGATCACATCATGAATCCAAAAAATTAGACAGTTATTCCTTAAATATATATAATATATATATATATATCCTTCACTGAAGGTATTTGGTTTTTTTTTCAGAAACATTTATTCATGGCATTGAATATCATCACTGCAATAAATCCTGAAGAAGATGTTTACACAAAATTACTGCGGAAACTTTTAGATTTTTTACATACACTAGGCTCAAAGGAATATGACTGTGGGCCAAAGGATTCCAGAGATCCTTTGGAAAGAGTCAATATTTCAGGTTATTAAATAACTTCTTTAAAAGATTGAATTATCGATCTTCAGTTTTTGATTATACACATTGTACATATTGATAATATTATTTTTATACTACCTACATTTTAGAGCTGTTTACGAGTAGATTTATAGACCGTAATGAATGGGGAGCAATACAGCCAGGGGGAAAGGTAGATGGTCTGCAAAACCTACCAAAATACGTCATTATTTCACACAGTGCCTCTAGTAAGGAAGCGTTTACAGAAGAGCAGTGTGCAGCAGAAGTGCGTTCATATCAGACCTTCCATATTTATACCAAAGGTGTGTAGACAGATTCATTCCTTAAATGCGCTCGGTCCGATTTTTTTATGGTAAAGAACCATTTTGTATTTTTCATGAAAAATAATCCTGTATTAAAAGTTTCAACTTTCGTCAAATTATAAGTCAGATTGGTTTTCTTTAAAAAGATATGAAAATTCAAACATGTATATAAAAATTTTAAAGTATTTTTGTTAAGTATTACAAAAAGTAAGAGAATGCAACTCTTGTGCATGATCAGCGACATTGTTAACAAATCGCATGTGGCTTTCGAACAAAAACGTGGTCGTACTTAATCCCTAACGGACAAGAGATAATGATTTGAACTGTGATATAAAAGACCGCAAAGTAGCATTTATGTACAGAAGGGCATACGGAGCAGTGGATTACTTGGCATTAAATCCAGTCAAGAACATTTACAAAATGTCTAACGATATAACTTCATTTGGTTGTCAATTCGATATTCCAAAAATATTTCTGAAGCTTAAAGAAGTCACGTGGTCTTATCATTTAATATACATTCGGATTTCTGTCAGCGCTTGTTTATTTTGTTAACATGGTGTTTTTCCCCATGAATTTTCTTTGAAAAATCGTAGTTATAACCGATCGAGAAAACAGTTGCATACATATTTTTTAATAAAAAAATATGTCAACTGGTACCCTGTTAAAAGGGTACTCGATCGAACGTTGGAGTATCGAATACTAAAATTGGTACTTGGTTACTTGTATATTTTTTCGTATTTCAAACTACATTTATTTATTAAAAATCTTTTTTAAAAAAACAGCCCATGGCTATACGGTAATTAACGTGGCGTAAGTTACACAAGCCCAATCAAAAATATCGTTGAGGCTTAACAGGGTTTAACTGGTCTCAAGAAAACCCCTTGTATTCATATTTTTATCAAGTACTCAGGTACTTGATCGGAAAATCGTCCGAGTAACCGATTATCAAATATTGATCGATTTGACATACCTAATTTTTATACATACTTAATTAACATGTATTTCTAATTGTTAGAAACTAGTGGATGGACATATTCAATCTTATTTTAAGGATGGTCTGATATTGGATACAATTTCTTGATTGGAGAGGATGGGAATGTATATGAGGGCCGTGGATGGGGTAAGGAAGGGGCTCACACGAAAGGACTCAACAAATACAGCATAGGTATATGATACATCTTTATTTAACCTTTATTTATGTTCTATATGATAATTACGAAAAGTTTCTTCATATTCTTTTTACTGACCATTGCTTTTAATTTTTTTTTTACTAAGATAACATTTATGAAAAGTATAGAATAAAAAAAAATTAAGTTTAAAGAAAATCAGATTAAAACTTGTGAAAAATTCCACCGAAACAAAAGTCATTGAACAGATCTATCTCCTTTTTTCAGGTATTTGCTTCATTGGAAACTTTGACAGACGTCTTCCAAACCAAAAAGCACTTAGAGCTGCTAAAGATCTGATACGCAGGGGTGTGAAAGAAGGCAAAATATCGACTAATTTCATTTTGATGGGTCACAGAGATTTTAGAGACACAGTGAGTCCTGGGAAATGCCTATACCAAGATTTAAAGACATGGCCTTTTTATCATGGAAACTGATATTGCTTATGTCGACAGAGATTACAAAATGCTATTATTATCTACTGTTTTGCAATGAATACTTCGTTTCAATAAAATTTAACACGATAAACTGACATTCATTTGTACTTTCATGCAGGGGATTACATAGAAAATAATAACGCATTTTCAGGAAGGTACATTTGCATTATAAAACATTGATTAGTTGTAAGATAAGATCTCAAAACTGACACCTAAAACCATGAATAAAATGCATTAATCAATGCACAATAATTTTAAAACTAACTGGCTAAATTGTAATTTGTTTGACCTCAATAATAAAAATGGAAAAATTTTCTAGTGTTGAGATCTGAGCATGGTAATTTACCAAAAACATGTATTGTTATCTTATATGATTGGTGATTGAGGGATGGAATATAAACTTTAGCAAGTCCCAAGTCGTAAGAATGAACTTAGTTCATCGGCTTTGTACCCCGGAGCAGAGTAGAAAATTTTCAAAAAATTAATAAATTTTCACTACATAATCATTAAAGCCCCGTCCTAACACCAGAATCCCAAGCTCAGGGACCATGAAATTCTTAATGTTGGAAGAGGCAACCTTGTTTATCATAACCATGTACTTATTTCATCGGCTTAATACCCAGGAGCAGAGGAGAAAATTTTCAAAGGAGTAATGAATTTTTCACTATATAATCATTAGAGCACCACCCAAACACCAGACCATGAAATTCATAATTCTAAAGAGACAGCCTTGCTCATCATAAATATGAAATACGTTCATCGGTTTTGCACCCTGGAGCAGAGAAGATTTTCAAAGTATTCATGAATTTTCACTGTATAGTCTTTAGAACCCCGCCCTAACATCTGAACCCCTGATCCAGGGGCCATGAAATTCGCAATTTTGAAAGATGCACCTTTCTTCATCTCATTATAACTATGTTTTAAACTTGTTTGCAAAATACCCAGGAGCAGAAGAGATTTTTTTTTAAGAAATAATGCACTTTCACTATATAATCATTAGAGTCCCGCCCTAACACTAGAACCCCTGACCCATGTAACATAAAATTCACAATTTTGGAAGAGGCACCCTTCATCATCATATATACGTACTTAATTCATCGGTTTGTACCTCGGAGCAGAGAAGAAGATTTTCAAAGAATTAATGAATTTTCACTATATAATCATTAGAGCCCCGCCCTTTCACCAGAACCCCTGACCCTGGCGCCATGGAATTAACAATTTTGGATGAGGTACCCTTCTTTATCTCTTCAGAACTATGTATTTAGTTTGTTTGCTTAATGCTCGGGAGCAGACGAGAAGATTTTTAAAGACATAATGCATCTTCACTATATATTCAACAGGGATTTTTAAAGATGCACTAATTTTTATAGTTTTAGTCCCACTCCTCAGGCCCCCGGGGGGGGGGGCAGGGACCATGAAATTCGCCAATTTTGTTCCCCTTCACTCATATATGCTGTATGCCAAAATTGGTTGGAAATGGTTCAGCGGTTCCATAGAAGAAGCTGAAAATGTTCAAATGACGGACGACGCACATTGCACGACGACGGACGAAAACATATACCAATAGGTCACCTGAGTGACTCAGGTGACCTAAAAAGAGTTTATAAACTGACTCAAATTTGTAAAGATCGCACTTTCAACAGTGATCAACAGAACAATTAAAAAATACAGCTACCCTTTTTGTTAATGAAAACGTAAGCAATTTATTATTATACAGTTTAAGTACATGTATATCATTGAGGGAGCAAGATTCCAGTTCCCCAAAAGTAAGTCTTTTTCGAAAGTCGATACAAAACGCAGATCGGTATAATTCTAAATTCTAAGTTCTAAAGTACGCAATGGAAATATCGGAATATTTTATAATAAAAATACATTCTCTGTAGTACGGGTGTTTCTTTTTAGAAAACCAATATTTTCATTTTGCAGTAAGAGGCGGATCACATTACTTTAATACAGTAAAAGTCTTTTTTTTTAATTAAAAAGAATATTATTTGCAATATTACCATGATGATATCAAGATTCAAAGAAATTGCTAGGTGTTCCGAATAGGTGTGAACTTGTTTTGTTTTTTTTTGCAATGAATCAGACTTGATTTCTCGTACATGGATTTCGATTCCTCCCGTTTGTTCTTTACATTGCCTTCGATATCCACACATTGTTCAACACATACAGTACCTAAAAAGTAATGTTAAATATAAAATAATGTAAAATGCATATATGTATATTCGCGGCAAAATAGCCATAAGGGTGTAAATAGAATCAAGTGTAAATGTACACTAAAATTCATCTTTCTCGGATATTGTTTTCTATTCTTTTTGATCTCGCATTACCTTCCAGATCAGCACAAAGTCAATATATACCTTAAAAAGCTGGATATTAACATGTTTTCTTGCAGCATTCGAATGTAGAATTACTTGACATTTCACCTAACTGAAAACGTATCTTCATTTTCTATTCATAAGAAAACAACTGATCTGGACAACATCAGCTTAGTGGACCACAGAGCAGCATAGCATTTTAAGACAATGAATATAAAGGCATGTTTAATTTCATGTAAATTAAAAGTCATTTCTGATAATAAGATTACTTAATTTTTTAATGCTAACCAAGAATGCCCAATTTATGCGCGTCAGAACAAGATACACCGAATGCATCAAATCAAGCGTATTATATGGTCCATGGACAGATTTGTTTCGTAAACTTCTAAAAAACACGAAATTTCTGTCGAAGCTTGATGGGAGTTTAACATTCGAAAAGTTCTACTTTTTCAAAAGATAAATTTAAAGAAAATGGTGAACAGAACAGAGAAATTGTTTGACGGAAGTTACGATAGTTTTGATCTCTGGATTCTATATTTTCTGCTGAGAAACATAACAAGAGTTATCTCCCCCACCGTGTTGTACGTCTTTAAGTCTGGAATTAAATCTATGTGTAGCTTATAACAAAATATATATAAAGGATCTCAGATTAATCAAGAATGAACAATTAGATGACAACACACATGATCAATAAAAAAATATCTGTTACCCAGGTAATTAGACTTCGTTTTCCCGTCTGCGGAACTCCATTGGCCAATTTGTTTATATGTTCCATAATTTCTGCCCTCCTTATTGTCTTTTTTTCGGCAATACAGCGCATTAGGAACAAATGGTTCAATCATAGGTACTTTGCCGCTTAAATAAAGAACTACGAACTGCTCCATCAATTGTTCCTTTTCTTTGTTTAATCTGTAATCTGTTGGTGCAGTTGTATATGAATATTATTTTGTCATCTTGGTAACTTTTCTTTCAACTTTTCCCCAAGATTCGTTAACAATGGAATTTGAGATCCTTTAGTCGTGTGGCAACGGCCCTGCTATTTCTGTAAAGCTGTATGACATATTTTTGTCGATGATGAAAATGCTTAGGACAGTGAAATTTGGCACACTGAAGAACACGACGTTATGAGGAACATATTCATACCTGCTTGGATTGAAACGCCAGACAACCAAAAGAATTAAATCTCACCAAATTTACAGAAGAGAAATTGTTGCACAGTACTAAACTTTCTGTTTTAAGATTTGTTTATTTTAGGGAAAACAATCTGAATTAAGATACCTCTCCTATAAATCTTTTCTATTATTATGAAATTTGCCGATTGTTGTTAATGTTTTTCAAAGTTATTATTTTCTTTTGTATGTGTTTGATTGTGTGTTCGTCATGTGCTCTTTTTTCAGAGAGCACACGGCGGGTGTGACAGGTCACAGGGGATGCTTACTCCTTCATGGCACCTGATCCCACCTGTTTTCAGGGGTCCGAATTGGCTCTGCTCACGATTTCAATTTGAGTCGTTTAATTGGACCTTTAAGCATGACCACTGCTTCATCAGAAACTTTAATCAACGTTTTCCCAATCCCAAAGCCTTGGGGCGGCTAAAGCATTAATTCAGCGGCCTGGTGGAAATAAGAAACATCAGAAAACTTACTTAATTTTGAAGGACACACAGATATGCGACCAACAGAGAGTCCAGGACAGCTTCTCTTTGAAGAAATTGAAAAATGGCATCACTCTAAATATTCCGAAAATCCTGGCAGACTGATTATCAATGCTTCCAAATTTACCATGGAAATAGAAATGGAGTACGTCATGTGTATTTATATAGTTGGGAAGGCATCAAAATTAAGACAATGTAAAAAGACTTAATCTATTTTTAGCAAACCCTGGAGAAGTGACTTGATTCCACAGTACACTGCTGAATAAAATCACATTAATGAAAAAGGTTAAGATAGCGAACTGTGATCGACCTAAAAAATCTACAAACAATACAAATACCTGAACAGGACATAAAACATGGACCCCCGGAAATTCCAGAGAAGGGATCAGGTGCCTAGGAGGAGCAAGCATCTAATGATAACTAGTCACCCGCCGCCAGTCTAGATCAGGTAGACGGAACCTTCCGTTGTCAAATTTAGTATAAAAACAAAGGCCTTACAATTGGTATGAAACACATCAGCCAACACACGACCTAATGATAGGTTATATTTGTTAACAAGGTCATTATAACGACCATAAAATCAAGTCTTTTAAGAATACCTTGTGTAGAGAATTTTCCTTCAAAAGGACATTTGCTTTACATTCCCCTGTTTTCAAACTATGTCATAAAAGATATTCTTAATTAGTTAAGGTGGTGTTGAATAGATATAATTTATCAACAGTAAATCACAACAAATTGTATTTTACCAGAAAGTGGACGGGAGAGAAACTCCAAACATACATTTATTATATCTAAACTGCATGTACATGTCTCAAGTATGAGTGATAAAAAAGTATTATAGTTAGGAACTAAGTTGTTCATTATCTTCAATTAACAAACATGGTTTCCATCCAATTTGTATCTCCTGCATCTTAAGCATCAACATTTAAGGACTAATTTTATCTTCTTTCTTGATAACCAGCAAACGCCGATTTAGGTCTGTCCGGAAGTTGTACCTGATCCACACCACTACTCTCCCTTGTTAGAATAAATCTCCGTACATGCTGGTGAACGTCTTCCTCCGATGACATCTCATGACTGTTGCATATTTTTGTACGAACGAATACTGTTCCTCCTGGT